AAGGACCTGTAAACCAAAAAACCCCATTGCTGTGGGTCTGTGTTTTGTGAACAAGAAAATTCTCACCCAAGTTCAGCACTGAGATTCCACACTCCCAGGACCCATGCGCTTAGAGAATAAGAGATTCAAATGAACTACTAACAATAAAAGCTCCGCCTGATGCAAACAGATCAAGCACCAAAACTTAAGAAGATAAATAATAGGAGGATCCCAGGCAAGGAAAGTTCTGCAGAAGCTGAGGAGATTCTGAACAGCCTCAGATTAACCTCAGCCAAAGGCATCTGTCAGGAGCAGGTAGTTTGGCCTTCGGGAACTGTATAACTTCACTTCAAAACTGTCACAAAGGGTTATAGCAAATCTGTGAAGAGAGAAATTCACAGCAAGAAAGACAGACAGTAACATAGGCCAGCACCTCTGCAGGTGTAAAGAATCATTATTCTACAGTTTGAGTGGTGAGGGCATGTTTTATAAGAGCATACGATGTCCGTACTCCAAAGGACTTTCAGGCCTTGCCTACACATTAATATTAAAACATATCAAGCATTCTAGTCATGGGCACACATTTAGGGATTGAGTTTTAGTAGTAGATCTTTCAGTATAGAAAAGGCAGCAACTGATTCAAGGAGTCTTTATGTGACTAACCACTTTCCATGGCAAGGACTCTACTGGCATCCCAATATTAGTATGTAAGAAAGAATGAAGGAAAGAAAGTCAACTGGAACTGGCAGAGATGTCTCAGTTTGAGAGCAATCCTCAACAGGCTGAAGCAGAATTAACGATGGCTGGGAACAGCAGAAGTACCGTAAGTATTTCACGGCTCTCATTTCAACCCCAAAATAGTCTTTTCTTTTCATTTTCAGCTACCCCTACTCTGTCATCCATCATTCTTTGTCTCTGTTCCCTTGGGAATTTGGACCAAATAAGGAGCGAACAAACTATGGACAAGGATATGCCCAACCAAACTCTTTAAAAAGCTTGCTCACTGAGCACAAACCACCTAAGGAATATTGTAGATACATAGGTGGCACCAGCTTATTTTTTGAGTGACAAGTCCAAAAGCCTGCTCTACAACACTTCAGCCTTCTTTGCTTCAGGAAGGGGAAAGAACCATGGTGAATCAAATGAAACTGCAACTGGTGACTCCTAATAGTGACCATCAGTGAGAAGCTTACTTGAGGACAGTCTGATGGTGACAAAACAATTAAAAGAGAAACAAAACATATTCCAGGTTACATTACAGTCCATTAAAAACCTGCCATTACCTTCTACCACTGCTGGACTTTGCATCAGCCCTGAAGTACCTGAGTCATGTGGACATCATGCCCATTTCCTACAACTTACACTTATTACTCAAGATTTAAAGAACCTTAGTCTCAAAACTTTAACTCAGTGTGTAATGGCTTTAACATCTATTTTACATCTTAATTTGCCATAACAATGTGGCTCTAAGCTGCTGTCACTCGCTCCCTTTTTCTGACCTTGGAAATAAAATGTTTAATCTCCATGGGATTTTCCTGGCGAGAGATTTTAAATCAGTGCACATGTACATACTTCTCTGTATGTTTTTTCAATTTTCCTAAAATATTCTCATATGTGCAGACATGATGACTAGACATGTTTCAGTGGTGCTTGAAACTCGATACAAGTGGGTAATTTAACCATGTAATTGAACAATATTACAGAAAACACATGGAGTCTCCTAGCAACAAAAGGCCTTGGACATCAAGATGGCAGCAGCAGCGAGCATTGCGATTGCCTGACCTAACCTGAATAGAAATTGCACTGAAGAATGTCCTTCCTCTCACAGCAGAGCTTATCTAAGATACATGGCTACAGGTCTGACCTTTAGGCCTTTTCGCATATACATGAGAGTTCATATGTGTGAGTAATGGCCTTGCTCATATACAGGGTCACAAGACGTCATATGGCAAAGGAAATTTGGGTTCCTTTTGGGATATTTTTATATTTTGCACAAGTAAGAATAAATCTTTGATTTGAAAAATGTAATAGGATCATAAAATCACAGACTGGTCTGGGTTGGAAAGGACCTTAAGATAACCCAGTTCCAACCCCTCACAGTAGATGTCGCCTAAGGCTTAGTCCAACCTGGCCTTGAACCATGCCAGGGATGGGCATTTACCACTTCTTTGGGCAACCCATTCCAGTGCCTCACCACCCTCACAGTAAAGAACTTCTGCCTTATATCTAACTTGAACTCCCCCTCTTTCAGTTTGAACCCATTACCCCTTGTCCTATCACTATAGTACCTGATGAAAAGTCCCCCTCCAGCATCCTTGTAGTCCAATGCTCCTGTCCTATCCCCAGACAAAATAAAAAGCTCCTTAATGCAAAGTAGCTGAGTACAGCTTAGCTTGTCCATGCAGAATGCCCCCTCACTGGGGCATTTCTGGAGGATTGGGCCCAGGGAAAGGTGGCACAGATCCTATGAGCCTGGAGACCAGTGATGCTCTTTGCTATCAGCTCTGGTGCCAGACTCCCATGCCTGAGAAAACAGGGCATAGAGGAACAGAACAAGATCATCCCTCCTCCCTCCTTTCCTTCTTCCTCAGTTTTATTCATCTCTGGCTGCAGCATTTGAGAGGAGGGAAAATAGCAAGAGTTTTAGTCCAAGTTCTTTTTTGCTGAAGCAAGTCAGCCAGCCGAGCAGTGACCCCTGAGGACTGAGGATAACTGTCCCCTTTATTAGTGCAGAGGAGAGGTGACATCTGAGATAAAGCCAATCTCAGGCAAAAGCCATCTATTCCCAAGAGGGAAGAATAAAGCAGGAAGAAGCTACTAACTCAGGAGGCTGCAGTACTTGATGGCATTTCTGTATTAATTCCTGCCTTTAATAAAGCCTCTGCCACAGCCTAGAGATCAGAGTATTGAATCTAGACCCACAGCTCTAAGCAAGAGGTGACACAGCTCTGCGTGACCCTTTGAATAACACCAAAGAGGACCTAGGGGATACATGACACCCTGAAGACTTGGGCCCCCCTGTTTATATTCCCTACAGACTCCCACCTTTCATTTCTGACCCAGACAAGCCCTTTAACCTATCTTTCGAGAGGGGACAACAGCATTTCCTACTGAGAATAAATACATTTGAGGCCACTGACTTTCAGACAGTGCAATGACATGGTCCAGAAGGATACAATCAGGGGAGACACCTGCCACTGGATGCATGTTAGGAGCTGTTTACTACTGCACTACAGCAGTTTTCAGCGGTGACCCCATCAACCCAGAGTGGCTCAAGGCACACAGGGCACTAAAAACATTCCTTACACCCTTGTTATTCTCAGAGCTTCCTTCTGCTCAACAACAACATCCATCCCTATTCCCAGTTACATCATGACTTCATTTTTCCAGCTGAAGTAGCTAACTGTTGCTTCAAGAAAAATGCCCAAAATTGCCTGTTTTCTGAAGGAAAACTTTAAAAGTCTTGGGCAGAGAAACAAAACCCTTCTAGTACAAGGATGATGGTTTACTGGTATTTCACTGAAATAGCAACAGCTCTTTGTGTGGAGTATGTCTATAACAAATATGTTGGTATAAAAAAGCCGCCTTGCAAACACCATTCTTTGCAATGTTGCCTTTACAGCTTTGGAGGCACTGGCTGCTTTCACAGCCAAGTTTGCCACTGCTATGGAAAACAGGCTGCACATGCAAGCCAGCTGAAGTCATAGGGACTGAAAAGGGCTAGGGCTGCTGCTGCTACCACTGTAAAATGTTATTTGGAAACAGTCTTCTCCCAGAGCTCTATAAGGAATCAAAAATCCATGGTAGGGATGCAGGCTCGGTGCTTGCCCATTTTTTAGCAATGACTAACACATAAAAGTTGTTATCTCAAAATAAAATATTTCTGCCCCTTACAAAGGCATCTAAGCAGGCAGGGCAGAATGGCCTTATATAGTTGGTCAACTAACATCCTCTTCCCCACTGCATCTGAAGACCTTCTTGCATTGTACTCTCATAACCTCAACCAAGTGAATGGAGAGTTATGGGAAAGCCTTTCTCTTCCTCTGCTTCAAGGCAGAGGGATGTCCCTCTTGATTTCATCAGGAGACTTGTGTGAGAACAGCACAGAGACAAGGCCAGAAAGAAGAAAATGAGAAGTAAAACATTTTAACACTTAATAAAGCAGACCAGAAATAACTTTGTAATTAATCTAACAGAGGTAAGTAATACACAAGAAATACAAGCTTCCCAGTAGCTAAGGGAACCCAGAAGCATGTTATAGGAACAGAATAACACAATCCATTTCTTCTACAGATTTGTCCCTTATGTACAGCTGTTTGCTGTCTAACAAGGGTTGAGTTTGTAACTGCAGTTTTCTTCTAGGCAAGACATTGGAGCTCCCTATGATATCCAGCTGTCTGTTTCCATCAGATTTGAAGAAACCCAGTAATTACAGGATGGTTTCTGTTATCAGTCAAACAACAATTAAATGTGTGTCACAAGGAACATTTCTATTTCCTTAAGATGCTTCACAGCATTAACTGCCTCAGACAATAGGACAGAGTTGGCTCAATTAAGGTTTTGCATCTTGATCCTCAAAAGAAATGCCACTTTTCAATAGCACAACTTAGGTTTCCCCTTTACTAGCAAAATATACCTGTCAATGCTTAAGCCTCTCCTCTTTTAGTATGTTCCTACAAAGTCCAGTGACAAAAGATTGCTTTCACTCAGAACACAAGAACTTCTAAAGAGTTCTGTGCCATCTCAGGGCTTCAGTTTTTGGGAGCGATCATTTCTCATTTACAATCAGAGCAAAACATCAGATACAGGCAAAAACCACTTTTAGCAGAAGCTTTAATATTCTGATCTATGACTTTAGGTGTAAGTAGAAAGCACATCTGAACAGCTCTATACCCTGAAGATCCCTGTCAAAAATGATGGCATGAAAGCTCAGTAAAACAATAAGAAATTCCAAGTAAATGTCTTGGAGGTACTGGCACTTTGATACTTCCCATGTTTTTCTGCAGGAATAAACTTCTTACCTTTAAGAAAATGAACCTTTTCAAAATCTTGAGAATTAAGTAACCCCAGTATAAATGCAAGCCTTGGAGGATCAACAGCTGCCCATTGAACAGAAAATATGCTATGACAGGAGTCGTGGAGTAGAACGTAGGCTGATACAACGTGGCACGAAGAATCCTGAGAAATAAAGGTCAGCGTTAGGGTGCAAGATTTCATCTCTCTGCTATTTACAGCTATTTATAATTTCACATTCCAAACTGATTAATTATTTCCACAAATATTAAAAAGCTCTGCAGAGATGACATTCATTAACAAGCTCTGTCTTAACTAAATTATGCATCTCTATTGAACTAGATTATGCATCTCTATTGAACTACAGACTTCGGAAGATGAGAAATTGGAGTCTTGCACAAAAGTATTCTAAACAAGGTTAGAAAACAATCCTATTTTTCCAGCTCTTGATCTCTGTGTGGTCTAGATACTATGCAACTGAGAGCCTTCCTATGCCTTATTTTTAATACAAAGTCTCTCTAATCTGAAATCCACACTCCAGAGAAAATCCTACAGGCTTTACAACAGGGCTTTTTGTTAATTAACATATGTTTTGTCCATCTTCAGACTTCACTACTTCTATATTATTTGGGGCTTTTTGAGTGCCTTTAATCTCATAATGTTTTGCTTCCAAGCTCAAGAACTCAAGAACAAGAAACTCAGTGAAGCAAAATGATTGGAGATCACTTGTATAGTTAATAAAAAAATAACAATAAAGTGAAAGGCATCAGCATTTCTGAAAGAAAATACTACAGGAAATTAAAACCTTCTGTTGATCAGTGTTCAGAACTATTAATTTAACCAGCTTGAGTCTCTAAGGGTTTGTCCACATTGAGGGAGAGGCATGAATGCAAACTAGAGCAAGTCAACGAAACCATGAATGTGAAACACATTAAATAGCTTTTAAAAGCTAAACATGTTAAGCATTAAGCACTCTAAGCACCCATGTGGATACTCCAAAGCAGATTAAATCACAGTACTCCAAAGTCATGCAAGTGTTTAGCAAGCTATGATTTACTTGTGTTGACTTCAAAAATTAATTGGTTCACCTTAACTTTTCTGAATGCTCCTCGCTTGAGAGAGTGGCTCTACCCAAAACTAGGTAGCAAAAGGAAGGCTCTACAAAAAATTAACTACATTTATATAGGAATTACACTGGGCTCTGCCTCTGCAGTTACAGCAGCAGGGATAGAATGAAAGGGGAAAATTAATTCTCCTAGTTAAGTAGCTCAACCCTCTTGAAAATGCAGGAGCTCAGAGCATTTAACTACAACTCACAAAAATAACTTGAATAAGACATAAGAGCCTCTATTCAGGTTAGCTGTTTTCAAGAAGCTCTTTTAAGAAACTACTTTTACTGAGCTTAAATTTTTAAAATCAGTTTTGTCAGTTCTTCTGGCTGGCCATTAGTAGCCAACAATAATAGAAGTTCTGCTCCTGCTCTCTAAAGTACAATCCATTCCTTTCCTTTTCCCATCACAACCAATACTAACCTCTCAATGGGAATGGGAATGAAATAAAAGCCTGTGATTACATCAAATACTGCTTACCAGAAGGGAAACAGGATGATTCTTGTGATGAAGAATGCAATAGAAAAGATGATAAAGAGCATATTGCAGGTTTTCTCCCAGTGAGCGTAATTAAACATTTTGGCTGCCTGCATTGAATAAAAAACATCAAATGTGTTACAAATATTCTCTGAAATAAGTTCCTTTCTGCATTTTCATAAATAAACACTCATCTTCCACCTAAGCAGGAGGAAGATGTCCTCCCTGTTTGACATGTAAAGCAATCACTTTACTGATACCTAATAAAGCAGTATCAAAACAGATTCTTTGTTTATGTTTCTCCTTTCATCTTAAAGGAGAGGACTTTGTATCAAAGGCCTAAATAATTGCTCTTGGATCAGAATATAGAAGTGTCATGAAAACAGAGGTGATCTCTCATTCTTGTACCAGATTCAAAATGGGCTGAATCAAAGAGAAGCTGCTGGCCACATCTGCATGCTCAGGAGCGGCAGTGACCCCTTACACACAGGCATTCTGGTGCATGCATGTTACTGACCCTTCTCTATGCCTAATTCAGCTTCTGTTTTCTCCTTACTGTGAATGCAGATCCTCCTGTTGGTCCCTATCCCACTAACAAGGATTATAATTGCTGCTTATGCCCCATCTGAACTGTACAGCTCTTCATGCTTCATTTAGGAATCATCCTGGGCACTGCTGAACAAAACAGATGCTCTCAAGTGTGAACACAGCTCCAGGTGCCAAGCTAAGGTTTCAAACAGCAGTTTGATGGACTTTTTTGAGTGGCAGGGCTGAATTAAGTTATTCTGGTACCCAACTTCAGCTTTCATCTGAGTGCTGTCTTACCAGTTGTCAGCTCAACTGTTTGTAAGGTCACACCGTTAACTGCACCACAAAGCAGTCCAGGAGTAAAAGTAACCAGGCAAAAAACCCTGTATGCACACATCTGATCAGGACCAATCCCAACTGCGTGACCCCACAATTAGTTGTTCCAATAAAATGGACAGACTATCAGCAGCAGAACTGCACAGGGATGGAAAACAGCCTACAAGGGCTGCTTACACCAGCATTGCCACCAGAAGAAGTGATGAAGCTATGCTCTCAGCCTTGGTGTTACGAAGTCATGATAACTATTAAAGTAAACAGTGAGCATTTGTCTTTTAAGAAAGCCAGCAGCAAGTCTCTATGACCACAGTGCTGCGTGCAGAATAGGAGACTTCTGAGTCTTAAACATTTCTAACCATTGATATTTAGTTTCCCCTTCAATCCAAGGGAAGAAATGTTTCTTCTGCAATACCTTGTTCAGGGACAGCTTAAGTGTCTCCAGCCAGAAGTCTAATGTAGATGTACCTCTTGGGTCAAAAGAAGGGTGTGAATGTTGACAAACTTAAACCAATTTGGAGAAGTAGCCAAAATTTTGGCTGCTAAATTTGCTTGAGAATTGGTACCATGACAAGCTGTTCACAGGCTAGCCAACTTAGACTAATTTTAACGGTGAAGCAAGAATAATCCAGGGAGGCAGCTGCATTTCCAGTCCCCATTCTGTACTGTAGAACTTCTCTTGTGCTCTTTTCTCACAAGGGATTCTTGAACAGAGTATCAGTTTAAATTATCCAGAAGCTCTTTTTTACCTCACAATTCATGAATCTGTGAAGCTGTGTCTTTGTGGGCATAGAAAGGGATCATATGAAACTTGTGGGAGAAAGATTAAAATGTCACCGAATGTAGCCTGGGCAACAACTTGAAACCCCCCAATCAAAACACCCAAGACAAAACAAAATAGAGATGGAGAGCAGGGTCACCTCAAGCCAGAAGTCTGCAGTATCGTGCACAAACATCACCAGCGTCCCCAGACGCACGTAATTAGCGCACCAAGAGCCACTCATCAACCCAATGGCTGCCAAGTGATGAACGACATGAGCCAGAAAATCCTGGGAAGGAGAGAAAAACACAAAGGTAAAGCCAAGCAAATCCAGCCTCCGAAGGTCTGCATGTGGATGAAGTGACAAGCAGGACGTGTCACACGCAGAGATGCCCTGGTAGGAGAGCTGGGATGCGTGCAGGTGTGCCAGGGACAGACTGATGCTGCCCTCATGTGGCTGCACCAAATCCAGTGTCAGGACAGTGCTTCTCCTTACACACAGTTTTCCCCCCTTCACAGAAACAGAGGCTCTAGCTACAAACAAGCATGCCCACTTGCCTTCCTTCTGTTGTCAATCCCCAGTGTAAATAAGAGAGACCAGTAAAAACTAATCTCAGCCATGTAGTACCAATACTGGGATGGCAGCAGGGTCTGTAAGGAAGAAAAGCACAGTTAACTGAGAATAGCAGAAAGCAAATGCCAAGTGAAATCATTTTGGTTTTCCTTTCCTCGCTTCTTTTGCTCCACTGCTGAGTCTTGCTTAAAAAATTAAACTAAACTAAATCCCTGTTCTGGGCTTCATTAAGAAGGATGTTCTGGGAGCCAAATATTTTAACCTTTACTCAGACCAAACTCTCAATTTCTGCAGCTCCTCCTTCCCCTCTCTGAATTTCAGCATGCTTTTTTGTGTGCGTTTGTCAGAGAACTACATACAGAGTGCTTCTGCATTTAACTACAAACAACTGCAAGTAAACCAAGCCCTGCATTTTGCTGAACAATTAACATATTAAACATTCATACAGCCCATGACTAAAGTGTCAGCTATTTATGCTAAAATCCCAGGCATCTGCTTAGGCCTAGATGCTGAGCTTGGCAGTTCCCTTGTTCAATACATTTCCCAGGTGGCAGGAAGTAGGCTTGGTTATCAGCTCCCATGAGTAGGAGAAGCTGGAAAACTGAGGGTCAGGATTCTTTTTATTCTTGGCCCCTGCCTAGGACAGGAATAAGGAGGCAGTGTGTGATGGATCACAGATTCATAAAAATAAGAGTGGGGGGCACAAAAGGACCCTTGGCAGATGGGCAAGAAAGCAGTTTGTTTGGAATCATCTATTAATGGGACTGTTAGCAAAATCTTTTAGGAAGAAACAAAAGCCTCGTGACCCTTTTGAACAACCAGAGCATTGAGCAGAGATCCCCAGAGAAGGGATTCAGGCCAAACCAAATCACTGCAGCACTCCTTCCACCAGCATCACTGAGCAAGAGGGCCCAGCAGGCACACAGCACTTAGGTTGCTTGGCATAACCCTCTGCATGATGCTGTTCTGCAATGCCTCAAAGCATCGTCAGGTCTGGTGGAAGCTTTGGGGTTTCTGCACCAAAACAAGTAACAGAGAAAGCATCTACTGCACACAACGGATAACCTGGGGTGGGAGGAAACAACAGTGGTCTGGCTTGAGGGCTGTGCTGCAGCACAGGCAGATCACACAAGTCCTGCAGCAGTCAGCAGGAGGTACCAAAGGAGGGCAAAAGGTTTTGGTGCTGCACCTCTTGAGGTGCTGCCTGTTGGGAGGGAAAAGCACTTCTGCAGATTACCCCTTCCAATGGGGAAATAACCTGGAATGCCTTAAGGCCAATGGCCCCATGCCAAAAACCTCACCTGAAATGGGTAGCCAACCCACGTCTGCCAGATGTCGTAAAACCACGGTTTCTGGGAAGACAGATGAGACAGAGACTGATCGGCTGACTCACAATAACTTGTCTTAACTCAAAATATTCAATACTTAGTATTTCTCTAAGTGAAGCAGGCTAAGAAATTCTAGTCTTGATAACTGTTCCCCATCAATTTCTAAAGAGATCTTGCATCTCAGATTTATTCTATTGGTCCCAGCTTTTGGCTTCTTTTCAGGACACCTGAAACATTCCAGTTCATCATTTCATCATCCAAAGCAGTGGGTGTGTGTTTTATTACTGCAATTACTCAAGATATGTTGCCACAGTGATTAGATTTTGCTGTGTTTACCAGCCACACACACCATGATGATAAATAGTGTTTAGGGAGAAGAGCCAGATGAATGCAGACACACTGAGAACCGTTCCGCTGCTTGGGAGAAGCATTAATGACACCCCAGGCAGTGCTAACATAGTTACAAGCAGCACTCTCTCTCTTATTCCCAACTTCTGACTCAGCAGCAACACCTCAATAAATAGCCATGAAATACACCATTGTTGTGACCCCCAATAGTGCTGCCAAGAAAGGTTTATGGCCTCCTTTGAGAAAAACATGGCCATGTGATGCATTTGTAGGTGTTAACAAGGCATGTTGTAAAACCATCTGTGGGACTTCTTAAAACTTGCCTTAAAAACACTGATTACTCATAAAGTATTTTATCATACCAGTTCAAAAGATAATTGAAGAATTCAGTAAAACCTCAGTGCATATTGCATCTAGATTACATACAGCAAAGAGCTGAACCCAAAGAGCCACTGAAACAAGTGAGTCATTCAGTGGCCTTCCAGAAGGTCTAGAAACCAGCTCTTGTTTTGTTGAAAGTAAGAATACCAGTCCTTAAAGCAATTAACTTACATCATACAGAAATATAAATCCAGCAATGGAGGATGTGAGATAGAATGAAAATCGCCAGCTGCAAAATCAAAATGAAAAAGAATGAAGAATGATCATATTTTGTATAGAGGTCCTGATCCAGAATTACTGCAAATCATTGTATATCACAGACAATCTTCACATAAATGCGCCCTCACACTATTACATTACATTTAATACATGTATTAAATGTATCTGAATTATTAATATTTAACTATTAAGCTTTGACTAATTGCTAAGGTAGTAAATCATTTTACACTATCACGACACAGATCTCTCGACTGTGATCACAGCATTAATTTTCCAGCCGGGCACAAGCTGATCAAGAGAACAGCCACAGCAAATGTAATGAATTCCCTAAACATCAATGTTTGATAACACCAACTTTCCTGCTCCGTCAATCCCTCCACAATATGCACACCAAGAACAATGTCTCACAGTTCCCTGACTCTAGAAGGGCTTTCAGCCATGCGGCACATACTTTCCAATCTGATCCAGCGCTGTGAACACCCCAACAGTGACTTGTTTCAGTTGCTGGGTTAATGTCTTTTGATCTCTCTTAACACAAATTGCTGAAAACAGGGGAGCCCTATGATAAAGCTACTGGATTAGTTTATGTCTTACTACAGAGTCTGAATAAACTATAAACCTCAATCTTTGAGTAGGTTTGCCAGCATTTAGCCCGATTTAAGCTCTTTGTGGCTTAAATCAATATGCAGAAAGTCAGAGAAAACCTTCAGGTTTTCACCACTGATCCGATAAGTCAAAGGGAAAAAAGTTCTTGTGTATCTTAGTGAGCAATGTTGTTGCTTATATATGTCAGAGCAGGATGCTGTGATGTGGAGCCACAATCAGTGTTGTAATGACCCTGGAGCCTGTGTGGGAGGTGTTGTCCCCAGGACTGGGTGCGGCCAGAGACTCAGCTGGAGCATTCCCAATCCCACCTCTACAGGTGATGGAAAACTTCTTCCTTTTCACTCTTCCCCTTGTCAGGAATAAGCCTGAACTTTCCCAGAGCTGCTCTTCAAAACCAGTAAGACATCACTGTGGGACTTCACATGCTAAGAAAGGCAGTGGTCAAAGACCTCAAACACAGTGAGAACGTTTTACAGAACAAGAGATATCCTGGAGAAGAGCAGCAGCCAGCTTCCCAGGAAACCTAAACTGCCTAAAAAGGAGGAGAGAATGCCACAAGAACACTGTAGAAATGGATTGAGATGTACAGAAATTGTGGCCTTTGGCAAACATTAATGAAATGCCATATGAGAGATTGACAAGAGCCTGCCTGGTAAAAGCAGTCCCTCCTCTCTGAGCCCTACATTACCTGGAGGCTGATATCCCAGGTGGAAGAATGAGATGCTTAAAGACTGAGCCAGCATTTTACAAGAAAAACAAACAAACAAAAGGTGAGACCATGGAATGGAGGAGGCCAGGCATGATCATGTGTCTCACACCCATGGAAGAAGTCAAGAAAACAACTCTAAAATTGCCACTTGATACACTGGTAATAAATAACTGGTTTCCTTTCCAACTTTAAAGCATCTTTCCTCAGGTGATTTGAAAATAACCCTTCAGAACACCTACTGAAGAGACAGAAAAACTCAAAGGTACATGGTGGAAATTAGGAGAGCAAGTGGAAGGGAGAGTGGAACCCACAAGTAATACCTGGCTCAGAGTTAACCAAGAGATGCCCGGAAAAGCAACACTGTGGCACGGGACAGACTTTACGCAGGGCTTGATTCTGCCCTCATGCCTCCTGTTTCAAGCAAGGGAGGTGTGAGTAGTCCAGTGGATATAGCGGGACTGATTCTGTGTTGACTGTAAAGTGGTTTTCTGAACCAGATCCAAAGCACAGAGCACCTAACGAGACTGTGCCATTAGTCCCCAGCCTTACAAATATATATTGACCACACTTGGTAATAAACACCCAGTGCTTCGGATGAACTCAATGTGCAAGACTGCCAGAGCACTACCTCATTTTGCATGTAGCCAAGCTTCTTTATGAATTTGGTGAACAAAACCTGAAGTAGAACTCATCCAAATTCACCAAATTTTACCCAAGTGTCTTTTAAGCTTCAAGCCTGGTCACCAGGGAGAGCACTGAACAACAGCTATGCAAAAGGATTTTCTGATTTAACTTCAAGAATCTTTTTTCTTGAACAGAGCCTAGCAAAAGAAGGATTTAGTAGGTGAAGTTAAAGGCTGGTAAGTCTTTTAAGGCAGGGAAGGTTTCATGCAAAGGGCGTTCCAAGCCCAGTGTTGCTTAACTGGAAGCACTAATAGCTTAAGGATGGTTTAGATGTGGCTCATCAGATTTTCCTTGTGATTCAGAAAAATGATCCTGGAGATTGCAGGCTTTCATGAATTTCATAATGCCCAGACCACTGACTACTAGCGTGGAATAACTCTGTTCCTCATTTGTTGCCTTGAGAATTATATCCATTTAAATTCACTGACAGAGAGTAGAGGAAGGTTCACGAAATTGCGCAAGAGAAACCTGTTTGCTTCATCCTCACTCAAGCTGCCAAGCGAGTTTGAATTTCACTCTTTAGCGTGTATTACTACAGACATGCATCAGTGGCATGTCAGGGCTTTTAGCAAGAACAGGAAATGTTATTGTCACTTATAACACAAAGTTAACTGATCCACAGAACAACAGCAGAAATAAGCCATGGATGTCAGTTAACCAGGAGAGTTTACTCAGGCTTCAGAAAGACACACCTATGTGTATCAACTGGATTTATCCCCACCAAAGGACAGCATCAAATCATTATCATATTGTTTCACACTGATAAAGTACTCAACTTTGAGCTTTGGAGCTGTACTTTTAACCCTCGTGCCTTAAGCTCATCACACTAAAAGGTTAAATATGATGATGATGTGAATTTTTGCCAATAGAATTACACTAGTCAAAATGCAAACCCACAGGACATCAGGAAAGTGTTTTACACCAGTGTTTTACATCATTTCAGTATCCAAAAGGGATGAGCTATGTAAGCCCAGCCATGCCCACTAGGGGATTTGCAATTTGCATGAGATTTTGGCTAACACTGGAATAGTTAAATAGTAAAATGTTTAGGTACGAGGGAGTTCTCACACATTTGTGAAGAATCAGACTCTTGGATGCTTCTCCAGTTTTCAATCATATGCAGGAGGGTTTGAAACTTTGTACATATTCATGATTATCACTCAAAATTGCTCAGTGGCCCACTCTTGGCAGTGTATTTGAGCTCATGTTTTGCACAGCACCCCATGTTCAAGCTGTCACACCTATCATTTAGTTCAGATGCCACAATTCCTGCTCTTGAACTGACATACACATAATAGCATCCCAAGAGGACACTATGGGTACATACATAAACAAGAGGGAGTAAGCATTTTTGTTCCCATACGATTACTGCCAGACACGAACATATTTCCCTATTCTCTGCATGTTTTCATTAAGCACCATGCAGCAGGAGCCTACGAATAAGTCCATTATTACACAAGGAAGAAAACTGTAAAGCATTTTTAAGGTTTTTTTTCAGGAGAAACCATTAACCTGATCCTTTAAAGTCACACCATTTGGAGAAACACTACTAGATCCTTTCAATTTGTTTGCGCATGCACAAATCAAAACCCTTGTCAGACAGCCCCAGCTTCCTGGAAATGAATCCCCCTTAAAGCAAACCCCATAATCATCAAGAGCATTGTTTTTTCTTACAAAGCTTCCTGGAATTTCCGAAGCACTGTTGGGATCTCCAGGTTTCGCCGTCTCCTGAACCACTTTTCCACCAAGCGGACAGTACAGTTGCACTTCTTGGCAAGGCCTTGAATATCTGACTGCAAAAAATGGAACAGTGTTAGCAATGAGATGCATTCCGATGTCATTTTCATTTATTTCGTAGTTCACAAATCAGCTTCCCACTGTTGTAAGGTCTTAATTTAAAACTGTGACTAATATTAACTCTTTATGAGGGTTTACTTGCAGGCTTCCTGCTTTAATTTTTGAGTGATACTCACAGAAACCCAAATTTTCAAGACATAATTTGCATAAATAAAGCAGGCATGAAACATTCAGATCCACAGACCCTGCTATTATCTTTCTGGTGGCTTCTGATCATTTCAAACACTCAACTTCTATAGCTGAGCAAGAGGTTGGTCTGGAGAGGGAAGTGCCATGTATTAACCCCTGTGAACATTGTACCTAATTGTACCTATTTATAATTATTACTTTATGTTTAAATTATTTCCTCAGGCAAGACGTGGGCCTGAAATTAAGGTGACCTGAGCTCTGTTCTCAAATCCAACATCTTTCTCTGGTACAGGCAAGTCAGTTAGTCTTGCTGAGCAAAATCCAGACTGCCTTCTTTGGACACCTAAAAATAAACATGGGCTACAGCATTGCCTGGAAATGCATCTAAGCCATCTAAGTCCAACAGTCTGGTGCTCCTGCTTTATGTGTGCTCTTGAAGCTGAAGCAGTTCTGTTCCATGCAGCCATGCCAGCACGTGCTAAGCACAAGGCAGTATGGCTCTTGCATATCTCTGTGCTCAGTGTGCAGCAGCCTGTGGGCTTCCTCTTTCTCCTCCATCCCCAAGTGTGAAAAGTTTGGGCTGACCTGCCCTTGGGCTGCTGTAGGAGTACAGGTAGTGTTCAACTCATCCCTGGGGAAGTTCTTTCCCGGCAAGTATACAGGTATGCAAATAGCAGGTGGCAGCACCACCTCCACCAAGGTAAGTCCAGTTCAATTGGTCTCCTACCCTCAAAGGAAGCTCTGGAATGTAAGCAAAGGCAACTCAGCTATTGGGAAAAGCAGGAGTGCAAACAAGCTGGGTGTTCAGCCCATCCTGCTGGCTGGGGAGCTCTCTACTTGCCGTGCAGGAATACCAACTGCATTTTGACAGACAGTGGAGACAGTCACCAGCCAGGCCTCTGCATGCTTTCCCAGGCATGCTGCTCCCCAGGCTGGACACCTAAAGGAGGCAGCCTGAATCTTTCCCATGTACTGAGGAACATAAAAATGCTGTGCTTCCCTTCAGAGATTAATTGTCAAACTGTATTCATGCAGGAGGAAGGTATGAAACAAGAGATTGGGATACTTGCCCAGATAGAGAAGAGCTCATATGTGATGAATAGATGAATATATCTATAAGTGATGATATCAGGCAAAAGTCACAGTAAGAGAATAGTAGAGTTAGCGATAGAAAGCAAGCTTCCACATATCAATAATTCTCAATATCCCTCATTACTAGAAAGCACATACATATTTTCAAAACCAGTGTGCAATTGTTTGGTAACTGTAGGTAGGTAAGTGAATTTTGAGGCTGCATTCCCAGTGAAGTACCTGTTTCCCATCAACAATCATGCCGCCTCATTTTTGTGGATGGTAAACATTGGCTATTACATTTTAGTTGCTCCAGTTTAAAAACAAACAGCAAGGTAACAGAAAGATTGTTTTTCTTTCTCACATAAGCCAGGATTAAGTATGCAGCAACATAATGGATCAAAAGGCTTCCATGCCAGTGATCCAGTATTATTGCTTGCAATAAATATGATACCACTTTCCAACAACAGATGTAAGCTGATGTTTTCTCCAGGCAGAATGAATTAAAGACGGGACACTGATCTTCACTGGAAATATTATTAACAGTCAAACCTAGAATAGCACACCAGAAAATTAAACATCTTCAACATATTTTCTGGTTGGATGCCATATAACCTTGTCAGCAGAACAGCAACACAAACCCAAATAAATTAAGTCATCTGTCAATCAGCTGGAACTCATCCCATGATGTCACTGCTGATAGCTGATTGAAACAGTAAGACTTGGGATTTTCCAAAACCAAAACTAGATTAAAAGAATGAGAATCCTTACTTGGGATGGATGTTTTGAGCACTCCCGGAAATAACTCTCTAAAACAGGATTAGGCTGTGGCTTCACACGTCTTACATTCTTTATACCTAAGGCTTTTGCTAGAGGTATAGCAATGTATCTGAAAAGACATACCATGAAAATCTTTTAGAATACAACACAGTTACATAGACCTTAGCTATTCTCAAGCCAGGATATGAAGAAAATAAATCTGAAGCAAATTAATCTGCCCTCTCTCACTGAGCTGTGAGAGAAAGGAATCTCCCTCCAGCTAAACCCAAGAGGGAACCACAGCATATTAGCAGTTATGTAAAAAAAAAAAGCAGACCCAGGGACTCAAACTTGTCATCACGAAATGCTGTACTCAAGTGAAGATCCTGATTTTTGTGTCCTTGTGTTTCCAGAGGCATATTGGAGTTAAGCAACAGTTACAGGAGAGTGAACCAAGAACAGATGCTCTCTGTGTGTGAGCTGAAAGATTGCTACTGGGATACTTTCTCCTAGAGGCAGATAGTCACTCAGCACATTGCTTCATGAGGCTACCACTGCCCAAGGTGCCGGATTTGGCTCGTGGCCTCTAACTTGTATCAAGCAGCAAATTCCCCAGACTCTGACGGCTTTTCCTCCCCTTTCATTTTCCAACACAAATTGTTGCAGAGCACACCAAAAGCTTTGCTCTTCTACTTGGGCAGGCTTCTCTAAAATAGCCCCCCTCACTCCTGCTGATATCAGCAATTGATTCCTTATTACTCACAGCAGTGGTCAGTTTTCCTCATTCATGGGCAGATTCACTGCAGGCCAGATGTGTGGACTAATTATTCACACGAGCCATTTCCAACAGCAGCACAGGGAGACACACTTGGGCAAGCCTTTACTCAGGAGACACTGAGAGTGGTTCTAAACATATGATCCAAATTACTTTTGATCTTTAACACGAATGATCTTATCTGCTTCTGTTTTAAGTATGTCCAACTTATGACATTCCAGATTTCCTCATTCTATCCTGAAATAATTATAGAAACCTACTAATCACATTCTTTAGAGGAAAAAAAGGCACAAATAAATAAGTCAAAACACTACAAATCTTAACATATTCATAGCTTTCTTCTGTGGAGCACATCTCTGCCTGTCCCATAAGATTCCAGCTGCAGAAGCAATCCATCTTTCAGTGCCGAAGCGAGGGAAAAAAGGAATCAGTATTACTAGATGTGCATAAAATGTTCACATGGAACTCTGAGATCCCTCCAGTCTGCCTAGTTCTGCTACAGCTAGACACCTGGGATCTATCAGCCTCACACAAATGTTCTGATGGAGGACTAAAGGAAGGGAGAGGTTTGGTGAGGAGGACAAATACCTTTACCTTTCCACCAGAGGAGAAAAGCAAAAGGAAGCCCAAATGGTTTTGTATTAATTGTATCTCTAGCAAATTGGTAATTGAATTATCCAGATGTTTTACAAAAGCTAGATAGAAACATTTTCCTTCTAATTGGACCACAGCCACATGTTCTTAGTGAAAATATTTCCCAATTTTTCACCTGCCCTGTTAGCTGTACTAGATTTTTCCAGCAAACCACCAACTAATGCTCCTTTACAACGTGAGAACCTTGATCTAAAGTTATGTTATTTTTTTACATATTTTTAGCATAATAAGGATTAACATCAGCATACAATTGTGTTCATGTTTCTTACCTTTCACTGAAGAACCGGATAATCAGCAATACAAAAGCATATGGAATTGTGGCATATAACTGATGTGCTTTTGGAAAGACAAGTCCATCACGGTCTACAAAATGTGCCCACGTGACGTTGATGGGCATCCAGATATTTTCCCACCAGAACCAGCTGTTGAGTGTCTTCAATATGTGCGCCATGCTAAGCAAAGAAAGAGATGATACAAAATTATTCCTGATGTATTGGAAAGAAAATATATGAAACAAAACATATTGAACCTTGGGAAGAACAGTGGATCCCAGCTGGCAGGATATTACCTAAAGATAAGGTACAAGCAGCACATGAGGCTTGGGTCCCACAAGAACAGGCTGCCCTGGCCTGCACAGGTTGTGCTGGTATTGCAGGTCCAACTGAAGCACTCCACAGAGAGCGTGTAGGCACTATAAATTTAGATGCTCAGGTGTCCTTGACTAAAAAGACAAAAGGCTTTTGAAATCCGCCAGGGGGAAGATAATCTGCTGTCACATTTGAGTCCTTCACGCTGACTGCTTAGTACCTGGACAAAATCTTTTGCAATGATAATTTATAATCTACTATTCCAGTGCATAAAAGATACTACAGAGAACTGATCTTCCCTAGGCTCCCTTTGTAAATTAAGTGGGTAGAAGAGTGAAAAAGAAATAAAGTCCAGCAGATGACTCAGTTCTGTAATAATGAAGACATTTTGCTGTTGAATTACTGCTATTTAATATACTAATGTGAATATATACCTTGATCTGATTTTGTGAACACCTGCGCACAGGGCCAAGTGTAAATACTACAGTGCACAGCAAGGTTTTGGAGGGTTTGCAGAAAATGCTGTGATTTGACTGTGACCAAATCCTAGATCAGAACAAAATGTCTAAAATTAGTCCTTGAAGGAAAGAAAGTCACTTAAACCATTTCATTCTTATAAAGTCTTATTTTTAACCTTTGCAATCTACATCATGCATTTATACACTTCTGTTATCCCTCCTTCAGTTGTGAGGACTTTACACTACAAACATGTTATATACCCTATAAAAGTATAAAATCCAGTAAAAATAGGAGTTACTATAATGTTTTCCATAATACAGAAATATGTATTTTTTTCTATAATTTCTAGGAATAACAAAATTAAACAGCTTTTCCATACTAAAGTTTCCTGTAAACCACATGAAACATGAGGAAGTAACTGGTATCACTGAACATAGTTTCCAATAAAGAAACTAAAGGAGACAGGAGAATTTCAACAAAGTCTCCTTGTAGCATCAGACACCCCAACAGAAGATCTTACAGTGATATATTTGTACATGATCAAGTGATAAGATCAAATCCTGCTGAGGCCCTTTCACAGTCAGTATGCGAGCAGGAGCCACACGGCTTTAGCTTTGCCTGCAGCCACATGCAGCTCCTGCCCATGCTGGATTAGGGCACTTGGTGCACTCACACAGCCTTCCAGGCTAGGACAGGGCTGGCTCTGAAGCCCACTTTAATCAACAGCTCAATGAGCAATCACTGTCATCTACACCAGGATGCTACCACTAAGCTGAAGCTTTGGAGCATGTCTGTGAAACAGTGACTTGTATCCATCAGAGCTGGGTTAACAGACACTGTGAATCAATGTACTGCCCCAGCACAGTAGTCAGTATTGAACTATTAATAACCCAACCATTTAATCTTTTAAAATGCCGAAAGGGGACAGTAAAAATCTGCTGAATGAATTGTGTGTATAAGAAAACGCAAAAGTAAAGGAGGGAGAAATCACAATTGCTCCTGCACTAAGACTTTATATGCCAAGTTTCAGCCTACAGCAATTTTTTACTGCTGAATTATAAACTCCTGGAAGTAGGGATTTATAATGGGGCTCCTAACAGACCCTTAACTACAGCTACCAGGCGCCATGATAATGAAGCAGGGCTTTGAAATACGACGTTTTAGGTCAGACAGAAAGGCTTGCAAACTGCCCTAGAAGACCAGGGGAGAGACTCATTACACAGTCCTGCTTCCTAATATATCTGTATTTTTAAACTCAACTGTGCATTGCAAACTATCACAAACTGTAGCTGTAATAAAAATAGGCCAGTCTATTATAACACAGTGGAAAGAACACTAACAGTTGAATTAGAGTGAGACATGTCGTAGGGATTTATAACTGAATATGCACCCAGAACACCTAACCCTAAAAGCAAAGAGTAGTGCATATTTTCATATCAGATTCTTGGGATCTCGCTAATTCATGTGTTCCTTCCAGACATGGACGTCAAGTTACCTTAAGACCTTTCAGGTCTTAAACTGGTTAATACATCTCTACTAAACCAAGATCATAAGCACATGCTTAACCCTAAAATTTAAAGGAATTATGGGATTTGGGGTCTGATCCTGAGCCCACAGATTTCAGTAGAAATCCTTCCTCACAACCACCACAGAGACTCATAGAAAGGTGGGTTCTCCAAAAGCCTTGTTCCTGTGATCGCTTGTATTTGTACCAGGTCTTGCCTGAAACACAAAGGATCAGACCATCACTGATGAACATTGTCCAAGTAATTCTTAGAAATCAGTTGACATCTGTCTGCAGCCTATTCTTATGTTTCATTACTCTTAAACTGGATCTTCACCCTACATCCAACTTACGTTTTCACTACAGCAAATCAGGCCATTCCCCAAGCAATCTTAGAGATTTCCATCTTCATAATAGCAGCTGTTCAAGTAGTTGGGATGTTCTCCTGTCTCCCTTCAGCTTCAGTTCTCACCAGGAGGTTCCTAGAGCACCTGCAAGGTGTGGAATTCACTTCAAATACATCTGGGCAGCAATGACCTGAGTATTTTGCAGTTTCTTTCTGCTCTTAAATGGCTGAAGCTGTGGCTGTGTGATTAAGTAGTTTAATCCCTCCTTAAATCATGGATATCCTGAAACATATAGGAACCCTTTAAGTACTGTTTTGTCACATACATTTTACACAAGCAAAGCTCTCTTCTCCTATACTACAAACAAGCTGCGGCCCTCTCAGCTTGCTGAGAAATATCCCACATGTTCATTGTATGTTTTTTGTGTATGGGAAGGAAGCTAACACTCAACAGAAGCCTCCATAGTGTGAGCAGGAAAGGGAAGGCAGCCACCACGCATCCTCTTCAGGAAAGGTCTGTCTTGTCGTGTCTACCACCCAGGGGCTATGAGCAGGGATGGTGAGGTAGATGGGCATTTCCTCATGTACTGCCCGAAATCTGGGTGGGAAATGGGAGAACCAGTTTCTTATCACTTGGGTGAGTGGAGTGTTTTGCAACAGGCACCTCTGAGATGTGCTGCAGCTGCAGTCCCTGGAACCCAGGTTCATTTCCTTAGCAGATCCATGTAAAACTATGACAACTTTTGTCAGGAGCTGGTTACCACACACAAGCATGTGTTCCAGTGTAACCACAAGTGGGGGTAACCAGTTCCAGTGCTGGGATCAGGCTACAGATACTGGATTTCAAAGGCAGCTGATCTTTCTAGCTTGCATAAACTCCAAAGCTGTTATTCTCTGCTCCCACACACAACTTCCAAATAGTGGACAGCAGATGCAAAGGCCCAGCTTGTCCTGGTTTGGAACCAACTCTAACAAGAACACTGAAAGTCTACCCAGCCTGAACCTCCTATTGCTAGGAGTGGTGAGCTCAGAACTTCCTTCTTTACAGCACCAAGCAAACAGGAATGGGAAATGACCACCGCTGAGTGACCCACATTTTGCCCAACCTAGGGTGAAACCTTCCTGCTTCTTCCCAAATTCCTATCCTTTCACCAGCACCACAAATGTTATTTTCACTGACAAAAATGGAATCATTGCCCTTGTGCTGAAGGGCCTGAAAGTCAGTCTGACAATCAAATACAGGTATTTTAGAAACCTAGACAGTTCCCCTGCATTTTGGAAATTCAATACTTTAAGTAAAGAAATCTCTTCCTTGCTAAGGATCTCCTCTGTTGCCTAATCTAGTTTTAAATGGGCTACTTTAAAACAGGAAAATCAGGAATGATTACTTCAGGAACTGCATCCTTTATAATTAAAGGAAAGCCTACACAGTTGGGAAGTACCAATGTGAAGTTTCTTTCAAACCTCTGTTCCTTGGATCCTTGATCTATTCCATTAAAACCCAAAATTTCAAATCTTTAATGCTGTTAAGCAAAAAAGGGCAAGTTTTGGTTTGACAAAAGTTATGTGTGGTTACATTTTGACAAACAAATTCAGGAGCTGCTTTGAAGTGGAATTTCTGGCTGCTGCAGTCTGGGGAATGAATACAAAGAAACAGAGCCAAGGCCTTTGATTGTGTCTTCCACACAAAAGCTCTCCTTTGCAAAAACTGCATTTCCAAAACCAGAACTAAGAGAAGGTGTTATCCAGGTGCGAAGGATGTGTCAAGGAGGATTTCCTATCCTTATCAGAAAACTCAGTGGACCACTAACACAAATACGAAAGTGAAAGAAACCTTCATTTCTCCAAGCATCTTACTAGACCATCTACTCAGTGTGACTCCAGTGTAGCAGGGAAAGAATGGAATCAGGAAAGAGCAAGAATAACACAATACTCCTATTTCTTTCATCACTTGGTAGAACTGGTAAAGGTGGTGCAGCAACTGTTAGGAAAAATCAAATCTCACAGATATCAGAAGAGACAGGAAAGCTATTCCAGGCTGTTAATCATCAACATTAAACCAAAGTGGTTTAAAAGAGTAAATAAGGATCAGATCCACTGTATCACAGGGTTTGGTTTTGCTTAAGACTTAGCAATATATGCAACAGCTAACACACACATTTCAAAAGGAGATTCGTGATCTGCTAAAAACAGATAGCACATTGTTTAAAGAATCCAACTGCAATCACCATCATGAGATGGGTGAAAAATATGGGACCCTCATTTTATTGCTAAAGGTATAGAACCTTCTTCCTACCGAGGAGAGCAGCAGCACTACCTAAGTCATACCTTTAAGAAAATCCCAATACTACAGAAAAGTGAGTTTTAGTAAAATCTAACACCTCCTTCCCCCTGCTATGTACAAACCCCAACTTGTGAATGGTTTAGTATCTGTGCATGTACTGACAGTTGATACTGTGCCATACAGCCGCTCCAATGTGCGGCTGCTGCTTTACCCGTCTACTGGAAATACTTAAAAGTTTGGGAACTCGCAGAATGTGACACCAGATTCACTTCTCCACTGAGTTTTTTATGCTAAAGAATTATTAGTCCCTAAGGCAGTAAGACCAACCCTGCCCTGCACTGTTTTCTTCCACACAAACCCATTTATTCAGGCATCGGTTGTTATTTGTAAGTATCTGCCAGTTGAAAACATCACTTGCTCCTGATTCTACACACTGCTTTTTGTATTTGATCAAGCAGTGTTTTGCACCTAACTGGCATAATGGGTTTGAACCATGGTTTGTGGAGGAAAGAACTGAGTGAACGATATTGGATTGATGCTACTATTTTCTTGCATCTGGTCTGTCCAGAAGTAAGAACACAGTTCAGTTGAATTCTGCAGAACCTAAGCCACAGTGTGAATGGCATCTTATCAAGCCTACACACACAACCAGTGGCAGCATGGAATAAAAGAGCTGTTGAACTTAGAGGTTCTTATGATGAAACACTGAAATACTCCATACACAAACCAGCTGAATTAAGATTGCTTTGAGACCTTTAACTTCAGATTTACTCCCCAGCTTGTGCAAATCTCAACTGTAAACAGTTTAAGTGCCTGGTTATAGGGCAATTAGAGTATTTTATTTCTTTTACTATTCTATCACATTACCTTGTAACTTGGGTCCTATATTGTAGCAGGCTGAAATAGCACTCCGAATAAATCTCAATTAAGGTGGCAAGTGAGTTTTATATTTTACCCTGTTCTCTGGGGGGGGGGGAAACAGAGAGCAAGACCTGCTGGAAATCATTCATTTTCTGGGTTGAAGTTACCATGCTTTCTCTACTTAAAGGTAAATCATTTTTGAGCAGCTAAAATGGTTTTAGCTGATCACAGGCAGCTGAAGAAAGTGAAATACAGTTCTCACATGGTACAGTTAAGAGTGCTTTTAAGCCTTAAAAATCTGTGACATTGAGAGAGTTGATTAAGAAGCTGTGAAATAACTCAAATATCTGCACTAATTTTGAGGTAAAAAAAATAGTTCTTTGGGGAAAAGAGAAAAAAAAGCCCTATCCAAAATACAGGTTCTTAAGAGAAGCATAAATTCCTAAATAATTTGAACAGACCTAGGACACCACCAGTTACTTCAAGAACTTATTAGTAACACTTGTCAGAATTTAAGTATGAATTTTTTCTTCAAATTATTACTACTGGGAAAAGATGCAAAAATGATCATTTTTGTAGCTTACCTAAATTTTTAAATAAAAACCTAAAGTCTAACTTAAAATGCTAAGCTATTTAACAGAGTTTTCACCAGAGTTGTGAGTCTTCTTGGTCACTTCTTTAAGACAAGTGTTAAGGGCAGAGAAGAACAGAGCAGCATTTGGGTACACAGTGACCAGGATAAGCACACTAGGAGAAGTACAACTACCCCAAACAACAGGAAGACAGCAGAATAGCAAGGAACTAGACGGAAGACCCGAAGATGCAGAGGCAAAGGTTGTTCACTTCTCCACCTGCACATGACTCAAGGTTTTAAATTGGCCCCTGGGAGGCGGTGAAAGGGATGGGGCTGGTGCATTTGTACTCTGGAAAACTGTCCTATCTGCAGCTTCTCAAAACAGTCTTCAGCTCATGTATATACAGTGGCTCAAGCTTGCATGTTAATGATCTCTCCACCACCCTGAACCAGGCATCCAACCAAGTCTGTTGTGCTCCACTGCTCTTAGTTCTCCTCCTGTTGGTTATCCCCTCTTTTGCAGTTTAACCTGCCCAGACATCCTCCACCCACAAAGCCAACCACAGGAGGAGCCAGAACAGAACTGGTATTTCATTATTTCAGCTACTGTTTGACAGCCTTTTCATGTTCTAACAAATGCAAGAGAGAGATCTTCAGCTAAAGAACCAGCATAGCCTCTTCTCCAACAGTGGCAGCCCAGCTGAAGACATGACCAAACTAGGAAGCTAGCTAAAAATAGCTATACAGTACAAAAAAAAAGAGGGGAAAACGGGAACAGGGTTCCTCCAGCTGAATGTTACAACATTACTATGAAAGAACTCTGTCTGGCAGCTTGTTTAAATGTGTTATTTATAGCACTAGCTTCTTCTGATCTTCAACAGGTAAGTCTTATAAAAAAACTGCCAGACCTAATTTCTTATAGAACATTTTTTCTTAGCATTTAGCAGAACAAAATTAGAATTAGCTTTTTCAAGGTATTCAAATGCAAAAGTGGGAGGCTTTTTTCAATCACATTTACATCATTAACTAACATTATTTCTCCTGTTAATAAATTTTCCTCCCTTCCATTTCAGAAAGCAGCGCTTTTACAAGCACTTAATAGAATAATGATACAAAAAGAAGAGCAAAACTGCTACTGTAACCTGTACTACTTTTCTCTAAAATATAAAGCAGTTCTCACAGGTTGGAATACTTAGTGGCAACACATAAAATCTCATTAGCATCCATTCCACTCTTCATCTGAAGACTATCACAATAGCTGCTTCTAATCTTCCCTTACAGAACAGGCAGTGTTAGACCAGCACATGCTAACGATGCCAAACAGAAAAGAGATGTAGGGAGGAGGGGGAAAAAAAACACCACCCCAGAACAGAAAAAAAAAGGAAAGAAAAAGGCATTCTTACCTTTATGATGTTGCAGTCCAAGAGAACATAAGCACATTAGCAGGGAAGAGGCATTACACTCACTACTTTGACAAAGGTAAACACGCCCTATCTACAAAACTCTTTCAAATTCTTCAGAGACCCACCCAGCAAAGCTGCACTTCAAGATTTCTGACTGAAGGCAATCCTGATGTCATATGGATCTACCTGCTGAAACTCGGGAGTAGCAACGCCAAGCGCCTTCCCTCTGCTTGTTTCAACACAGCAGATGAAGAAACGTTTGAGGTCACATGGTACTTGGTTGTATGATGAGAATTCATCTCAACTCCTATTGCTCCCCACACACAGGAGGATGCTGCGCCTGCTGATGGCGCACAACAGGAAAGGCCAAATGCATCACTTGACACTGACATTTTTAGATGCATTATTATATGAAGTATGGGGTTTCAAATAAAGGTAGAGAAAGGTTTCTGCTTCTATCGGCCAGCCTCAGGAACACTTCCAGCCCCAATCATTTAAATGTTTTACAGAAAGCATTTCAGTTCCTCAGAAGACAGAAAGTGGAATTTCAAAAAAAGTCCTAAAGCAGAGGGAAACATACACTAAGTGCATGTTTGGTTAGAAACACCACACAAACGTCTATTTTCCTTAGCCCTACCTGCTTTTTTAGTTATTGTGATTCCACATGGAATGTAAGCCATTCCTCGGAGCTCTCCCCAGCTTCAAATAGTAACAGCCTTCAGAAGTGCGGGCATTACTTAGTATTCTGGTGGGCAGCACACCTTGACATTGCTCAAAAGAAAGCAGAGAACTCACTGACAAGCCAAGAGCAGAGAGCCTCTTATTAGCCCGTTCTTCCTGCTTGCAGTCAGCAAACAGCAAACCAAGAAATAGGAACAGACATGTCAAAGTTGAACCAAAGGCTCACCTCACCCAGCATACTGTGTCTGAAGGAAGCTCATAGTAGTTGGCTACAGAAGAGTGCAAGAACATAATACAGACAAAATAGCAACTGATGATACCCCCAACCTTCAGTAGTTTGGGGCTCACAGACTTCCCAAACCATAGATGGTATCTCTATAACAGTGGAGAGGGCTGGAAAATAAGGCCAGTGCAGATCTCTTTTTGAGTATGCTGAACCTCTCATCACAACCCGAAAGACAGCAATAAAAGAAGTGACCCAGGCAATATCTGGATCCTGTTCGTTTACCTCCCTTCAGAGAAGGGTTTGGATTTGTTCATATACCAATTTTTTCTCTTTTTTTTTTTTTCTTTTTGAGGCATTCTATTTTGCAGCTATGGCAAATCTTCAGTCCTTCCATAAAACTGGGAGCGGTACTCAATAAACTGATGCACCAAAGCAATATTAAACATGAAGGATTATTTCAGAAACGTAGTATTATGGCTTTGCTGTTGCTTTAAATGATCTCCATGCTTTCCCACATCTGAACCACCAGTACAAACTCAGCAGAACATTTAGGTACACTTTGCCAATTAGGAAAGCCTAGAGCAAGCTGATTCATATATCACTTGGCTAATAGGGCCAGTAATGTAGCAGGTAATTGGCAGAAACACCTGTCTTATGCCTCAATCCACGATTTCTTCACTGTCACACTAAATTACAAAAAGCACATTTATTTAACTGGAGCAAATGTGGGGCTCCTACAGAAAAGATGGGAAAAAAAAATCTATTTACATACTTTTTGAGGAGCATTCGTTAGGTAGCCTCACCACCGAGGTAGAAATCTATTACAAGATTAAAGATATTGCATAGTAAATACTAAGCTAACCATACACTCTTGATCAAAGCTGCCCACTGACCTTTCAATTATTGCTGCAATTTCATAGGACTTTGTCCTTCAGGGAATTTACATTTGAATGCTGCAAAGAAGAAAACCAGAAGCACCTCAGTCTGTACATCTCAATACGAAACAAAATTAAATAAAAATCTAAGTGTTACTACTCCTTGCACGCGGTATAGCACCTACTCAATCAGCAGTTAAATACAACTAGATAATGGAGGCATGTATTTGACACAAAGAATTATTTCACACAGCACTGGAAATTACATACAAGTTTTCAGTGGGGAAAAAACTATTAGAACAAACCAAGAAAACTTCATGCATTTACTTCCTTCCATTTTCCAGACAAATACGTACATTAAATGACAGTGAATCTACACATTGGACAAGAGCTTTCACTTGAGTTTTAAGCAGTTACATAAGAAAGATTATAGTATTAGTTAACTTTCTCAGTAGAGAAAACCCTCTTGGCAAATCTTCAAGACTGTATTAAACCTTAACACTTCCAGAATCAGAGCTGCTGCGTAGGATGGCACTTGGAGGGGAAAAAAAAAAACAAACAGAACTCAACTCATATTCCCCCTCACAAACAAAACAGAAACCTCCAAAACCTAAGGGTTTGGTTTGTTTTCTGCTGTGAAATAAAGCGAAATTAAATTCATCCAGGGAGCTGACAGATAAATGTTCTGAATATTGTCTATGAGTGCCTGGTCAGTTTTGCTAAATGGTTCTATCTCAATGACAGACAATCAAATCTCAGGCACATGTATATACAAAATAGGAATTTGCTCTATTTGATATAATAACTATAGTAATAATCTGGATTTAATAATAATCATATAATTTGGACTCTGAGTTCTCTTTTCACCACCAGTGAAGCCTATTGCTTGCCACCTGGCATTCCTTCAAGATTAAGGTAAAAGAGCTTGATATTCCTATACTTCCTGCTCCTCAAGAATAAAAAAATAACTGAAAATTAATCATTCCCAAGTCATATGTTCAAGGACATCAATACATAACTCAATCTTGCAATCTGCAGGCCTAAGGTCCTCTTCTTCACATGATTTTGTGTCTTCTCGTAATGCAGCAATTTTCCCCTACATAAAAGGGATGAAGAAGTCCATTTACAATCTCTCAAAAAGCTTTCTTCTCAATACCTTTCTAACTAGGAAGTATGACCTGATTCATAATCTTAGTTAATCTCCCCCTGTATGGGAGAGGTTCATTCTAATTAATAATGCCATCTGTCATAACTGAAGACTAAACACCTGAGTATGAACAGAGCAAGCATGAAGGTAACAAATACTTACCGTGCATGAACGTCACTGCAGGGCTAAATCAGGAACACACAATGTGAACACATAGGCTGAAATCTTCAAAATGCTTAAGTCTTTTTCAATTATTGTTTCAGAACTTGGTTCTCATGAATTTACTAAGAATTAGAAAACTCAGTTCTTTGAGAATCTGGGCCTTAATAACAAGAAGGCAGATGACTGCATAAAAAGGGGATGTCAGTAGTAATACTGGAAGGATAAAGGCAGTGGAGAGAAGTGAAGGAACACACACCACTGCTGACCCAAGCTGCCATCACTTCACTAAAATGCAGAGAACAGGATTATTAACAAGCTTCAAATATGCCTTAGGAAAAAGGCTCCAGGAAAAGGCATTGGTATTACCTGGGGACTGCCTTCTAACCAATTTGTCTCACACAAGTAACTACTGAGGGATATAAATATCACAATCGTGCTCTCTTTCAAGCAGTTACAAACTCCTAGGTGCGTTCTATTTAAACACTGAACATCCAGTGTATCAATAAGCCTCCAGGGCAGCAATTAAGAATGCTTACATATCCAGAGGCACAGAGATGTATGTGATGCAGTGAAAAAGTCATCTATTCACAGTATGGTCAGCATTCTTTATGCAAAAATCCCAATTTGATTTGGTTTTAAACTATCCTAGGTGAGAAAATGCTTTTCTTTCCTCTTGACTTAGCATCAACTTGCATGTATTTGTCAAACTCACCTTTATGGTAAGCAGAAACCCTAGAGCAATTAACATAGAACTGCAAATCTATACAAGGTACTTTCACTAAGTATGTTCTAATACATTTGAAAAGGCAAATTTATCAAGACTAACTTCAGCTGCTACCATTTATAGCAAGCAATGTGTTAAAACTAGCACGCTACTCAAAATCTTAGCAAGAACAACTGTATCTAAGGATTGACTTGTATAGTTCACCCTTTCCACTCCAAATAGAGCACTGCTAATTCACTCAAATAACACTCCTGTGTGCTATGAGTATCTTCAGATAGTCATGAGACTGATATACAAACTCTTCTGGCAGCAACACTAGAGATTTAACAATTAGTTCAACCAATTCAGTCAAAGCTTTTTAATTCCTTTCCAACAGTCCAAATAATACAGGATTAAAAAAAAAGAGATGTTTTATTGATCCTTGGGGCTGGAAGCACTGGTTTAACAACTGCATGAAAATAAATCTCAACAATTTGGAAAACTTTCACATAAGACAAATGCAAATGTTGCTTGATTACACCACTGGAAGACTCTCAGAGCGTCAGCCTTTACCCATCCACAGAGAACACAAGTGCAAGATAGGAGCATTAACTTTACAAGAGTATCGTAAGTATAGAAATTCTCCATGTTGGTTTTTATTCTTGTATTACAGGATCAAAACATGTATTACAAGTCTTAAAACTAAATGGAAAGCAGTCAAAAATATTAAAGGAAACCCAGTCTGAAAAACTACACGAATGAAAGCACCTGGATTCAGCTGTAATTGCAATCAAGCTCTACAAATATTTAAGTTCAAAAATACTCTTTTTAATATGCATATTCTGTATGTAATTTCTAGTGCTAGCTGCTTACCTCCTTAAAACCACTTACTGTATTAAGGTTGAAGGTAAACTCCTCAAAACAACTGCACAGACATAAAGGGAGACTGTGGATGTTTCAGGATAAGTCCTCAGATAGAAAACTGTCTCCAGATAGGTCACCTGCTTTGTTCTGTGTCTTACTTTCAAACAACACAAGAAAAGTTAGATATCAATATTAAAAGGTAAGACACATCAAACTCCTAGTAATAAGTGACCTACTTCTTAAGCTCTAATTTAACATTGATAATAGGTTCTGCAGCTGAATTAAACTGCTCTAGCAACTGAAGTTACAGCTCTGCCTGTACTTTTAGATAGTAAAACAAATCAAAAATCCCCAACAAAAACCATCCTATGGACTCAATAGTTTAAAACACAAATTCTTTTGCAAGGTGTTTTTGTTTTTTTTTTTTGTGCTAGACTTTTTGAATATAGCCATAGACCTATGAGCTACCTTCACTGCTCACACTCATTTTGAGTGTAATAAAGTTGACTCACATCAGTTTTAGTCCACCTCAGGTCCTACAGTTCATAAATGGTAAAATATCAACACATTAATGCATCCAGTTGCCAGATACAAACCACATTTACCCATTTTTACCACTAAAACTTTCTGAGAATTAAAACAATGGCTGAGAAGTAAAACATGTGGGAATGATCACTTCTAATAATCAACCAGGCACACAATCAACTTCATGCCTGTAAGAATTAAATACAGTTGGGCTGTCGTTGGATTTGCTGTGCTCAGAAATCAAGTTATGGCTCCTACACTTCTTGCTAAATTCTACACAATGTTCTGAGATGTCTAAACTTTCACTTCAAGAAAGGTTTTATGGTTGCAATAATCACTGCCAAACAAGACCAGCACTTAACAAACGGAAATTACTTCCCCATCCTACCTTTCCCACCCTGCTTATCTTCGTGTCTGAGAAATACTGTTGTAATTTAGATACTTCCAGCTGGCAAAGTATAGACCAAGAAATGTTGAACATGATTATGTTCAGTGAAAACAATGAAGTTACTCAGTTAAAATAAACTGCTCAGCACAGCCTAGATTAGAAAAGAAGTAAGGATAGTGGGAAAGGATTTCACTGAAATCCTACCTGTGTTTAAAATTGTTATCTTGAGAAACTCTTGCTCAACTGCCTTGCCAAAGTCACTTCCCATGTTTGAACTGAAAAGTTCCCAAGTAGTCTAGAGTTGCATCTTTGAACACACCCAGAGGCATTTTAGTGACAGAAATGAGCAACTCAGCATGCAGAGTATAACCAAGTTGGAACAGTAAAGAGAAAACAGGCATTCTTCTGCCCTGGACTACTCAAGGGTTTAGTCTTTAACTAAAGCAACTATAAGCATGAATGGAAAAGTTTACACTCATTGATATTCTCACCCACTCCTATGCACAAAAGTTCTCTCAGGAAACCAAAGCACAACACACACAGAATATTCACATCTACATGTCAGTCAAGGGGATCACTCTTTCCTATACAACTGTCAAGTGACTACAGCTGTCATCCTGAAAGAGCAAGCCTAAGGTCCAAACCTTCCCATCTGAGAAGTCATACCATTTGAGTGTCTCTGGAGAGCACTGTAATTTCCAGCCAAAGTACCCCACAAGCTTCACCTCCTTTTTTTGCCCTCCCAATAGATTCACTAGCTCAGAGTTCAAAACTAATCTAGAAGATGGCCACTGAGATTTGGGAGTTAGTCACCAGCTCCAGAGACTGTTCTTAACTATCTACTTTAACACTGAATAGCTTTTAAAAGGAAGACAGAACTTACTTGGCTCTCAATCAGAATAAGAACACTTACCTTCAAGAGATGATCCTAAAGGGAGAATTGCTTCTCACAGTTTTGATGAGGTCTGAGATTTTTACAGTAGTCCCTGTTGTCAGGGACTAACCCTTGTCACCTAACCCTTGTAAGACCACTACAAGCTGCACATTAAGTGCACCGTTAGGTGGCTTCCTGCTAAGTGTGCTCACTGGTTTGGATCCTGCTCCAGACTAACTCTCCCCAAGCAAATTCTTAGGCACTTTTCAGGTTATTCAAATTAGATCTAATAAAACATGTAAGGGTAAGAATTCAACATCATTGCACTGCAGACACTCAATTTCTGGTTACCTGTTTCTGATTTCAAAAAAATTAAGTGCATATACTCTACACTTACATAAAATACATAATGGAATCAAGGAATTGTTAGAATTTCACTTCTGTGTTACCTAAGCTTGATTTTAGCTATAAAATTCCATTAAAGTGTACTATAAACAGGCAACACATGATCCAAGATAGTCTCACATCTACCTTTCAGTTAAACAACTATATCATAAAATATTAAGAAAAACTAAATTCATATTTCAGTGAAGCGATAACACTGCTCATTGAATTAGCCAAACACTAAAAGCTAAAAAAAATACATCCTAGACATCAGTTAAGCACTTCAGCCAGTAAGTGTGACATGGATTATTATGACTGCAATAGCACACCTGAACCGAGATGCTCCACTCAGAGCAAAGCACCGATGCAGAACACACAGTATAAACACCAAAACTGTCCCCCGCTGAAATATTTTATTTAGCTCAACCTCTAAGCAGTCAAGTGTCACATTAACATTTCATTGTAGTCCATGAATCACCGCCAATCTGGCGATGACTTCATATAGAATGACATTAAGTATAATTGACAATACTTTAAGTATCATCTATTGTTGATAAGCTTTCACATAGTCATTTATTATCAATTTTTGAATACCTAACAATTAGTCCTTGCATACCATACGCTGACATACATACCATGAATAAGCCTGGGACCCTAAGGTAAGGGATAGCACTGAATGCAACAGCAGATTTTTAAGGTGTCAACCAATAACATGTTTATCCTGTTTCAGGGTAATACACTCCCAGGTGCAAGAGGCATGAGCTTCAGAAGTCATTCATCTCATGGAAACATTTCCATGTGTACTAGGTAAAAAAGCCACTAGGAAACATCTTTGGACTATTGTGGATTCATGTTCTTACTGATATGCTCAATGTGGCTCAGTAGTTTCAACAACGCAGATGGATTATATGGGAAAAGATCCCTTCTCTGCAACCTAGAAATAGCTTTCTGCAGTTCTTCCAAACATTTTATTGATTTGTAAAGCATTATCCTTTGGGGAATGACATTATCCAAAGATGCCATAGAAGTCAAACTGGATGAGGCATTAGATCCCTTTTGTTTCACAGGCAACACTTCAGCCTGGAGTGTATTCCATTCACCATCCATGTAGCTGCAACCAGCTTCCCTTATCCCCATTTCACCCTCATTATTTAAAGGCACCTGCTTTGTGTTTAGCAAGCAGTCTTTTCCATCTGATTCTAATTCAGAGTCTTCTGAGCTGTCATAATTAACAAGGCTTTGAAGAGAACCCAGAAGAGATGTGCCATCAGTGCCTATCAAGAAGTTAGACCGGTTAGACTTTACAACTTCATTATCACCTTGCTCTGTTGTAAGTGCAAAGTAATTGTGAGAAACAGCCAAAGATACCAGAGTCTGTGGTTCTGGTTCACAACAAGCATTTTGCAAACTCCCATCAGTCTTACAGCTTTGTTTTTCTTGATGGGGTGGCTTGACAGAAGAAACTGATTGAAAAGCACTATGTTTGGTATCAAAATGGTTACAGACATCTACAAGTTGATGCCAGTCTTTCCCAAGAAGCTTTAAGTACCTTACCAAGTACTCCAGAAAGCAAGTTTCTGATGAAATCAGAAAATCTAGAAGTACTGTGGAATCAAATGCAATTTTTTCAAGAAAAAATAGAAAGATACAGTGAGGATTATATCCACTTGCATGCGTAAGGAAGTTCCAGATTTCCTCCTCTTTTTGGCTTAAGTTATGAGCAGCGTCATGCCGTAACCTGAAAAGGAAGTCATGAAACAGATTAAATTCAGTTTTGTCAAAAAGTACAAATCAATCTTTATATTAGAAAGAAAGAATGAAGGCAGATGTGGTGGGAGATCAGTTTAGGAAGGCAAAGCACTGAACACAGACTTTCTTAAGCAGCACTCCTCTTACTACTTGCAGTATCTTCTATCTGAAGCTTAAGAGAGCTTTTATAAATTAGGATAGTATCTTGCATGGTAATCTAAACCACAGTGAAGCAGGGACAAATTCCTGAAGAACACATCTTAGTGGTTAGCAATAACAGTTTTTATCTACTAGCTGGAATTAACATGGGTCCAGTCTTTAGAGGGCTACTTTGCCAGAAGTCCCCGAGTTCTCCTTAATTATAATATCCCATTATTGTCAAACTCCTGGTGTTGAAAGAAGAGTCTTGCCTTTTATCTCTGTTTAATCACTGCTTTAGATTGTGAAGTCAATTATTCTGAATTGCAGGATCTGATAAAGTATTTAATAGGAAACTGTTGCACAGCTCCCTCATTTTAATCCAAAACACTCACTCAAATTATCAGCAAAGTTAACTGCTCTTACACCACACATTATGACAGTGTCCTGAGGTTTGGGGGGGTTTAAATTATCACAGAATCCCAGAATTATCTGGGCTGGAAGGGAACTTAAAGCTCATCCAGTTCCAACCACCTGCCCTGGGCAGGGACACCTTTCACTGGACCAGATTGCTCCAAGCCCGGTCCAACCTGGCCTTGGTTGGCCTTTATAAAGTTTTCATTTTACAAAAGTAATCAATGGAAATGTTATGTGTATTACAATAACCTAAATTACAATTCTTCACAGTTCTGTCAAAGAAAAATGTAGACTGACCTATCAAATTTTAAATAAATGAGTAATAAAGCTTTAGCAGCTTCCCACATATCATCATCTTGCTCTATGAAAACCAAGGACAGCCATTCACAGTGATGTACAACTGGGCGAGACTGTGGGGAAGACTTCAGATGATTCATCCAGAACATCAACAGCTGGGACATGGAATTCTGGAAGTCTCCTGAAAAAGAGAAGTAACCATGAATTTTGCTGTACTTTTTTTGTTACTAGACAACACACACTTTTTATTTTTTAACAGTGCATAACAGTTCATGAATGCTTTTATCAATGCTTTGCTCAACTGATTCAACACAGCACCAAATTGCATAGGTTAGGTCTTGGTACCAAAGAAATTGAGAAATATTTTGCAGAAAACCATATGCAGTTATGCAACCTTAAATTCAAGGTGAATGGCTACCCTATTAAACTGTAAACATGCCAAAGTTTAGATGCCAATGTTAACAATTGTAAGTAGCGTGCCTAAAATTAATTTACTTATTAGGTACCATCCTCGCACCCCAGACAGGTAAAACTTAACAACAGAATTTATTCATCTAACAGCATTCTTCACTTCCTTGAAGTTCAAGGAAGAATAATCAGAGGTGACCTAGAAAGTTTTGTGTACAACAGAGTGAAACCTTCCACACCTAAACTTGCAGAATAAAGAACATTACACCTCCAAAAACCTGCATGTATCAGGGACCCACAAAAATGTGACTGTGCCCATACCACAGGGACTTAATACTTTCCTTTAACTCCCCAGTAGCTTCATTGGTACATCACAAACCAAACTTGACCTGAAATAAAGGTCAATGCCACAGATGTAATAATTCAATATGAACACTTTTCTGAGATGTCATCTTGGGTAATTCTTCCCATATGAAATAATAACACAACTGGCATGTTTTGTTAGGACTGGAGCAAACCCCCCGCAGTATGATTCACTGTAGAAATTAACTGCAGTCATCTATAGTTGATGGGAATAAATTGTCATTTCTACAGTAAGATGAAGTATGAAGCCTGCAATATAGTCAATTCTTTATAAAATGCATTCCTCATGGATGATGAATGCTTTCAAGTACATACAGGCTTAAGATAAAGGTACCTTCTTGAGATGGTCTAAAGTCCTTGCTGGAATGATTAACATAAGAGTATTTTCCCTGCAAATCTTAATTTCCCCCTCACTCTAAACACTTCACTCCTGGGTGAGAAAAGCACTTCAAAATTCATGTCACTTAATGCAGTAGCTACTCATAAAAATAACTTTGTATTCATACAACAGGCTATTCCCCTTAAGTCAAGAAACTTCCCTCTTCAACACTACTAATAATGTACTAGGTAGCATGGTACCAGGTACCAGTTTTTCATGTAACACAACATAAATTCAATGTTTAGAAAAGAGAGAAATTTCCTGTAACGTGGGAACCAATTTTCCTTACCACATCATTATGTGGTTTTCCTTCATATATGACTAAGATTTGCATTTCTTCTTAGAAAATAATAAGAACAGCAAATTATTGTTACAAATAGTTACTATTCAGACTGAAGTCTTCCCTATAAATCAAAGCTATCTGGAAATTACCCTCAAAATTGAAATAAATTCAAGTTAAGCCATATTAATTCACATTAATAAAAAAAGATAAGATCAAGCAGCTTCCCAGAAGGGAAGTTACTGTTAAAGCATTTTGGTGCTTGTTTTAACCACTTAATTTAATGTCACTAAAATAGAAGCACCACTCCTTTCAACTTGAAATTCCTCTTGATAGTTGGGGTATTTGAATCTAATTAAAGAACCCATTTCTATGTCATGAATCTGGCAAAGAAAGGGAAATATTTTCTTTGAGAAAGAATTTTCACAGACATCTAAAATAGATTTAACCTACATTCTTCTATTCACTCAGACACTCAGTTTCTACACATTTTTGAGAAGGTGGATCATAAGTAAAATATTCTCCACAAATATTTAAACTCTAAGAATTCAACTGGCATCACAAATACATCATTTCCCAAAATCTGTGAAAAGTGTCAGGAACTGTCTTACAGAAGCCCATAGCTCTTTTGCACAGTCAGATAAATTAAAATGGATCTTATGCTTGCTATAGAATGTAGAAATATAGAAAGTAAAATAACATTTACACCCAGAACTTGCATTAAAATGCCTCAATATATTTAAACTGCTGTGAAATTTCATTCTTTTTTAAGAAGAAATACAAATTATTTTCTACTTCTTGCCACATCATCAACTGGCTGACAATAAGGAACACCCATTCTCACATGTATTTTACTAGAAACACTGCTTCAGAACTGCCTTTCCATTTTTGCCATAAAGCCTGTAATCCTGGGACAGCAAGCTGCTTTGATCTCAGAATTTGCACATCCTTGTTCACACGGCTTAGCAGCAGATGATGCGCATCACTTGCCTCTCTGGGGTAAAAAGGCAAGCGGAAAGATGGGATTCCAGGCAATCCTGATTTGGGATTCCTGATTTGTCTCTCAGACAAAAAAGCCTCACCTCACCACTTCTTTATAGCACAGGAAAAGAATACCAACTAGCTACCAGCCTGACATAGCAATGCATCCTCTTCCATCAGGAATGCAAGTTACACGGCATTCCCTCACCATCCCACTGCCTGCCTCCTGGCATAGCCCCAGCACCACAGCTGCTCTTCTACTAATCTAATTCATCTATTCAGTAGAACAAACGTACACAAGTAAGCAGGTATGAGAAATATGCCTCACGCCTACTAATTCAAAGGACTAGACCTATCAGTCAGGGTTAAGAACACAACCACTATATTCAACTAAGTCTCATAGTTTTCCTGTCTCTTACTTTATAGCTTCATTATTTTTACTTTTCCTGCTTCTGCTGGTTTTGACAATTATATTGTACATCTGAGTGTAACGCCTAGTGCTTTCAACCAAGAGAAGTATATAATAGTGCTCAAAAGTTCTACCTCCCCATTTGAAAACAGGAGAGTGCTACCTGCAGTTCCTTTTAGTTCCCCACACCAGAGTAGAAGCCTGTGCTATGGGCTCTCTTCCAACTAGAGAAAAAGCCTGGCATTCCCAGGCTGGCTGAACTACTTCAAATATTAACACATACTCTTAATAGGAAAAGCTTTCAACCCCAAATACAGCTGTTTCAAGCTCACCATATCGCAGGGATAAGGATAGGATAAAATGCAAGGAGACAACTACCTAGGTGGGACACAATGATGTTTCCTGGGTGGGTCTTCTCTTTCCTCCCTCCCACCACCAATTCAGCTGAATTCTATTTACAGTCTTAATGACCTGTGACTATAAAATCTGAAAACTTTAAAGCTACTGCTGCTTAATAAACAAAGCTTTTACCTTTGACAAATAAACAAAGCTATTACCTTTGATTTCAGTTTCTGTAGAGGAGTTCTGAAACTTGAATTCCAATGCTTTAAGCACAACCAGACTTAAGGCTCTGAGAACAGTTTGGTCAGGACCACCTGGAGTACTATCTCCAGGAGCAGCTTCACTGCCTCCAAAGTAGCTGGTCTTTTCACTGAGTGGGATCTGATTAAGCCAAGTCAAATCCACAAGCTGCAGGACAGCATTACTCAGTGCAAGCATATCCTCATGTAAAGATGGTGTTTGGAAAAAGAGCGATCCACATTTAGCATCTTCTCTAGGCTTGTAAAGGACACATTTTTTAAGGAGCAAAATTAACTTCTTCTTGATTAAATAGTGAACTGGTGAGCTAATGACATCCAGGACATGAGACACTTTCAAGAACAATATTCTCTGGCATCTGAGTGGTTCTAATTCAATTCTGGAAGCCAGAAGTGCTTCAAGTAGATCTATAAAACTGACCAAAGTGTTTGTATCTTCAGAATAAGGTGAAGCATAGTGGTGACTGTCAAAGCGATGGAACAGAATGGAATTATAAAATCCTTCCAGCACAGCATCAAGGGGAGCCAACAACTTCTTCAAAATACCTACAGCAAAAAGAACGACATTGTGGAGTTGGAGTGAAACACAGTCAACTAAATCATCAGATTACCAGAAAACAAGTGACTGTGACCAGTTTTAGGTTTTCAGCATGCTTAAACCACTGCATTTTAACAGTACTTTGTCACCCTCTCTGTAATGAAGAAGGTAGGCGTTCTTTAGGCAAGCTGCTCTAGACCAGATTACAAGTAACATTCCTCCCCCTAGTGGGCACTCGTGCAGGACTAACATCACAAATCGCGACAGTACCTGCTTTAGGCAAAGCTTTATCTTTCAGTATGTCCTTGACAATAGTTGTAAGGGTCCACAGACATTGTGCTACCCGGGTGTTCACAGAGAATCCTGAAAGAGTCTTCAAACTGAAGGTGAGCCAGGTGACATTCAATGTGTTCTGTGAAAACCCGTTCAAAAACCAATCACACATGCTTTACAGTTGCTATGCAAAGTAAATTAAATCTTAACACAAGGATTTAAAGTGGTACATTAAAAAAAAATCAAATGTAGGCATAGGCAAAACAGAGGTAGATGCAATATGTCTGTCCAGTGCATGTTAAGGCCTCTATTTACCAGCAGGAAGCCACACATGCAATAGAAAAATCTGTATTCTCCAAAAAGGGAAAACCAAACCTCTTAATGTCATGTGACCCCAAAATTAGGTAATCCTGTAGACAGACCATATCTGAATTCACAATTCCCAGATAACTTTGCAAGAAATACCACCTATTTCTGAGAGAAATACATTCAGAGAGGCTACTACAGAGGCTACAATATATATTCAACAAATACACAGCAAGTGGAAAAAAACCCTAAAGTAACTGGTATAGTCAAACATGAAAATACAGGAAAATCTCTGATTAATGTTCAATAGGTTATTATCTATTTTTATCTACTGCATCACCAAACAGGTATCAAGTAACTGTAAAAGACATTGATAGTCTAGATTACTGTTTGTTTTTTTTAAAATACCTGTATTGCAACTTTAAAGAGAATATTCCAAGAGAGAAATAGTCTCTTGGAATATTTACTACAACTCTTTCCTATCCACCACTTACAAAACAAAGCCCCTAAAGATTCACTTTGTGGGCAAACTATGACCTTCACATTGTTCCTGATACTGGAGTGAAACACACTTCAACAAAACTGTGTGGCATTTTAAGGGACTAAGAGAGTCCAGCAGACTGCAGGTGTGCCTCTCAAAGCTAGAGCAGACACACAGGCAATGAATGGAGGAAAGAAGCAGCTTTGATGTTGCTCTGTAGATCTGCTCACAAAAGGAGCCTCTTTAGGATAACTTTCAGATTTTACAGTAATCACATAGCTACTGCTTTTGTGCCAAATTTGGCTCTAGAGTCAAATGGAATAACTTGAAGGCATATATCTGCTAAGTCATTTTTTAAGCTGTGAAAAGCTATGCCACACTCACCTCTTCCTTCAGCTGGAAATACACAAGAGAAGCTAAACTTCTTGAAGCCATGTGAGATAACAGCTGATCACAACTACCGAGCAGACAAACCTGCAAACACATAGAAGAAAGTAACTAAGCCATGTCCCTTTTTGGTTTTTACCTCCTTTCACAGAAATCTTTCAGAAGTTTATTAAAGTTTACCAATTTTGAGTCAATTTTTGCCTCCTTCAGAAGAAGGACAAAGATCTCACAGTACTTCTGTCTCATACTGAACTCTGTTTCCTGGGACTCTGCTTTAGCAGCCATCATCTTGATCAAGGTTAACTGAAGCAGCATCACTTCTCGTGGACAAAATGAAGAGCTCAAGTTTGCAAAGCTATTTGATACATCATCTGTCGTAGTGACAACTGCACCTGGCATCTCAGTGTCCTGGTGGCTCCCAATACCACCATTAGTAGATGACAGATGCATCCGATGACATGATTCATCTCCTTCTGCTGACTGTTCAACACACGGATTAAGTAGAGAGGTATAATGGTGGCTTTCCTTTGTCAGTGGAATGCCAACCAGCACGTCCTTATACATCTGCTGCAGAAGAGAGATCTTCATGATGAGAACATTGAATATTTCAGAAAATGCTGTATGTCTTCACTGGTTATTCATCATCATTGCGAATCAGCTTCGAGGTTATTTTTATCCAATGAGAAACAGAAGCACTATCAGGCATTTCTCTTTTAAGTTACCTAGAAAGGAATATTTTGCTATTACTGAACTGATAACAAGAAAGATACAAAAGAGCACCACACATTTTTGGAGTTCACAGTACCATTATTAAACATATTTTGAAACTACAAATTCACTGTTTAAAAACAACATGCTTTTAGGATCCCCATCTTTCAGTCTGGCATAATCAGCCAGGTAGACTCCTGAAACCATCTGTCCGTAGTTGGGTTTTATTTAAATGTTACATTTTCCCTTTCTATTCAATGGAAGAAAACAGCTCTTCCAGCTGGTAAGAAATTCTAAAGATCTTCCCACCTATGTATCAATTACACCTGCACACCAAATATTCAAACTATTATTGGGGTTTAGCAGAATATTAGTAAACAATGAAACTCTAAAATTCAGTATATGAGGCGCTTTTTTGGTTTATACTCTTCACAAGTTTTAAAGCACTATCAAATACTGAGAATTACACCTTTATTTTTACAACTGGATTTCTCAACTGCAACTGGAGCATGCACTGACAAAATGGCTTCCCAAAGGTATAATGAATTAGGGGTAGACCAGGATAAGGCACACAGACTCCTCACTTCTTCCACCATCAGAAGTATTTCCTGCAGAAGAGAATCTAAAATTAGAGAATAAGAAGCTGCCTGCAAGGAGTGATCTACAATTCACTCTGGTGTGGTCCTAAAGAAACATTGAGCACTGATTAACCTGACAACTACAAAATGTTGGCGTATGCTTCTCCCCCAGCAGAAATAAGAACCCTTCCCCCATCCTCTCCCATACTCCACATTTTAGATGTTAAGAATAAATCTGATACTTCATACAATAAATTCCTTCTTTGCTTGCAGAATCTATTTGGAATTCTATATGAGGTGGAAATTTACGACCTGAAACCCCGTAAAATTTCATCAGAAATCACTGAATTTTTTACATGGCTATTGTTCCTATCTTTGAGTTTTATTTCTTCCTAAATGAATACCTAATAAAGTAAAATTATCTTGACACATTTACTTCTGTGTTCAAGATCAACTTGAATTATTACCCTATGTGGTAAATGAAGTGATTCCCCATGCACAAAGTCATACAACACAGCAAGGCTGCTAAGGCAGAAGAGATTTAGAACTCCTCTAGCACATCCACTATGGGATTTTACCTTGGCCACATGACATTGGTCACGCTTTCTCTGATCCTACCATAATGCATTGATAGGATGCCATTAATTTGCAAGCACTTTACGAAAACATTTATAAGATATGTCTCACACATGACAACAGCTCATGAGTAGAAGTCACTAAAGGAAATGAAATGTGAGGGGGCTTATTTTGAAGAAATTTCCTTCAGAGGGGGAAAATGTCAGACAATGACTAAGTTCATTCAAACATAGTCAGAAAGCAGAGAAAAGCTCAAACCTGAAGAGTAAAGAAAAGCAATGGTATTCATAGACAAGAAATGTTAAACTCCAACCTTTACTTGTATTATTTATTTGAGTTATTCATGACAGCATCTGAACACCCATTAACATAACGCCTCACAGTGCCAGACTCCTGCACGAACAATAAAAAACAGTCCTAAAAACCCTATAAATAGACTGATCAGGGAAAACACAGAAAGGAAAACTACACAAAACAAACCCCAAATAAGTATTATTTTCATGACTACTTCAGCTAAGCTTTAAAATCAAAACCAAAGTCCTGCAGAGCTGCAAACAGAATGAGAGAAAAATCTTAATGGAAAAGGAAATAAAGAACTGCAGATGAAATCTCAGATGGCAGTCGAAGCCTCTAAGATTTAAGGACCAAGCAAAGTTTAAGTAGTTGCAAATGCATCCAGGATATCCTAATCAAAGTTATAAAATATGTACATTTCTATTATATGGGGTACTTAATTTAGCACAAGGTCCTAGAAAGCATTGATTTGAATGGACTAACACTGTTGATACCACGTTTTACCAACACAAGTGGCTTATGATGACACACAATTACTCAGAGACATTAGTAATGAGGCATGATTGAGAAAGCTATTGTCAAGTCCCTATATTACTCTTTCCCTTTTAATATACTATTAAAAGTTAATTGCATGAGTAGCAACTGGGAGAAAATTAAATATCCAATAAACCCACCCTATTTTCATTAGAAAATTAAATCAGGTACAGCAAAATGAAACCACAGCCCATGACTTTTGGGTTGGAGTTTGAAGGCTTTGGGTCCCCTTACAATGGAATGATTGAATCATTTAAGAAATAAACATACTTTGGGCTACTTGTACCTGCAATGACTTCGTAGGCTCACCTTTCAATATATGCTTTTGCTCAGTGTTGAAATACTGTAAACGCCTCTAAAATAGTGTCATTTCCTTTCCACAGGCTGCGAGCTGCCCACTGCCTGTTAACTGACACCTAAGCATGCCAGGTGCTTTACCTGCTCTTCTGTGAGCATCTTTAGCCATAGACATAGGGCTAAGAGGGACCCAACCCGGCCTCACCGGAAAGCTGGCGCTTCAGACCCCCCAGCAATAGGGTACTGGTGGGAAAAGCTCACTAAAAGCGATATTCCAGCCGGACAAGGAAGGGAGGAAGAGCACGGATGCGTGTAACCACTGCCCCAAACCCAGCGCACAGCGCCCCGCGGCCTGCAGGCCCTCTCCCCCTTGCCCTCCTCCAGAAGGCCTCTCAGCCTCCAACACCCCTCTCCCTGCCCTGAGGGTCACCCGAGGCTTTTTTGTGCCGCTTCCAGGCCCCTCCTGCGCTTACACCCAGCGCGGCCCCGTGCTCCTTCAGCCACGCAGGACAGACCCGACCTTCCTCCACCCGCCCGGCTCCCCTCAGCCCCGGCCCCCCTCAGCCCCGGCTCCCCTCAGCCCGCCCGCCGCGAAGGCCCCGCCCCTTTCCCCCCCTTCCCCTGGAAGCCCGCTTAGCTACCCCGAGCCGCCGCGCCGGCGGGCCCCTCCCCTCCCCGTCCCGTCGCTAGGCAACCGCTGCTAGGCAACCACCGCGACTCACCCGCCCCCGCAGACCGGGCGCCGTAAGGCTCAACTCTCCTCCGCCAAACCGCCGGAACCACCGCAGCCAGTTCCACGCCCCTGTCGCAAAACCCTTTCCCCCCCCCTCCCCTCCCCCGCGGCTTTACGGCAAGGAGGCAGAGCAATAGGCGGAGCCGCCGTCAGCCCGGAGTCCAATCAGACGTGTCGGCGGCGCGCGGTTGTGGGCGGTCCCAGCGCGGCGGCAGCGGATTGGCTCCGGCGGAGGTCAGTCCCTGCCCGCTGACCTCGGTGCGAGCGGCGGGGGGCGGCTCGGTGCAAAGTGTCCCCACACGGCTCGGTCCCCGCCCGCGGCCGGCCCCGCCGCTGCCCCCGCCCGCCCGCCGCCGCACCACCAGCGCGGGGGGCGGCTGCGCACGGGGCCGCGCCGCCCGCTCCCCCCGGCGACACACAGGTAACGGCCGCGGGCGGCGAGCCCCGTCTGCCCGCTGCCTCCTTCACGGGGGAAGGGGGGGGGGAGGAAGGAAGGGGGCGCGACCCCATGGCCCGCCGTGGGGCCTCCCTACCGCCGCCCCGGGCAGCCCCTCTGGCGGGGCTCGCCGCCGGCCTGCTCCTCCCCGCTCCCCCTCGGCGGGCTGTGAGGGGCTTCCCCGCCGCCCCCCGCTGTTGAGGGGGTGCCCGGCTTCTCGCCGCTCTGCCCGCCCGGGCCGCGGGGGGAAGGCAGGCAGGCAGGCAGGCAGGCTCCGGGCCAGCCGCCTGCCGCCGTGCTCCCAGGGCTGCCCGCGGACCGGGGTTCTCTGGCGGTGAGGGCACAGGGGAGACCAGGGCTCCTCCGGAGCGCGTCCCCCGCTTCCCCTGGGCCCTCCCGCCGCCGGGCCGTTGGACTCTGCGCCGGGGCTTGGTTGGTTTTCTGTGTGTGTGTGTGCGCGCACGCTTGACGGTTCCTGAAGCGTGAGCTCCTGCAAGGGAGCGATTTTCATTTCCCAGTAGCTCTCCTTTCTGGGTTACTTCCTGTCCCATTCTTTAGTTCTTATCTTTTACTTCAGTTCCCCAGAGGAGCTGGCTTGACAGGGTAGTGGGCCTGTGGTTATTGTCCTTCCAACTCCTTAGTACCCCTGAGAGCGCCCTTCTGTCGAACTGAGGTCCTGATTTAGAGGAATAACCCTTTCCTTCCTAATTTCTTGAAGGCTCTTCCTTTTAAGACCTGCTCTTGCTTTGGTATTAACCATTTTCATTCTCCATTTCTCTTGTTTGTGTCATTGTGTGGCTCAGTTCAACTTTTCTTTTTTGTTTTTTAGGTTGGAGCTGCCTTAAAGGAGAATTAAAAACTGTGACTCCAAAGAACAAAATAAGACAGAAGCGAGGAACCAGCGTTCAAAAACACCACAGAAAGGTGATCATTCTTACAGACTCTTGGAATCATCCTAGACACATGGTTTGGGCCTCTCGTTGTGTTTTGATGGATTTGAATAGGTAGCAGCGGATTTCTTTGTTCTCATAAAACCTACTTGCTATTGACCTTTACAAGTTTGAAAGCTCTGAAGCTCTTTTGAAGTAGGGTTCCTCTTTCTTCTTGTAACGCTTTGTCATTTTCTAAATTTAATCTGCAAACATTATTTTGCTTGTGAATTGCTCCTTAATGGGTCTTTGTGTCTCCTCATCTCAGCAATGTCACTTAAAATTACTTCACTCTGTGTTGGTTAAAAGGGCCTTTTCTTAAGGCCTGTTTTCAGATTTATGGGTGCAACACCGGATTTGCTTCTGCTCTGATTCCAAAATCTTTATTGGAGTAGGTCATGGTAATTGCATTATGTTGGTTTAGTCCTACCTGACTTTGCGTGGGTCTCTTTTTCAGTATTGTACTGTAATGGAGCTGCAAAAATTGAAATCCATTTAATTGGATGGTGTTTGTTTACAAGGACTTATTTTGGGGGTTGAGATCACAGGAGAAGATAATGCTGTTAGCTGCTTAAGAATAAAAAGGAAAAGAGTCATCGAAAACAATCCTGCTGGTAGGAGGAAGGCTCGCTTGCAGAGGGAGAGCAGTTTGTAGGAAGAATTGCTTGTTTTAAGTGGTGAGATGAAGAGATGGGCTCACAAGGGGAGAGAGTGGGGGGTGAATGATGTCAGTCAGTCTTTTAATGCATCCTACTGTTTGTGTGCCCCAAATAATGGAGTTTGTGCATGTTCTGTCAACAGAGAGTCTGTCTTGAATCCATTCTAATCTGTTTCAAATGTAGATGAGTTTGTTATTTTGGTAAATATATGCTCTATATAGGTCCCTTTGGTCTCTGTTGTGTTTTCAGAGATGTCATTAACTGCACCAGAGTGTTTTTCATTGTTAGCAGTCAATTAGTTTTTAGCATTAGTTGTGGGGGAAAAGCGGTACCTGTTGCCAACAATCATGGTCAAGGGTGGATCAGTATGCAGGTGTCTTTAGCATATGATAAAAAGCAGCTGCTACATGTCAAAGTTTAAATAGCAAATACCTGTGTAATACATGTGCAACAAATTCTGAGATATTTGAAAGTACAGGAAAGAAACATTCCATGTTATTTTGGTAGCATACTGCAAAACCACACTTCATAGTGGAACATGTGGGCATGCCCAGTATGATTGCAGGAGGGAATTTTTTGCTAGTAAGTGAGGTAAATGTGAATTAGTTCATCCAAAGTTGGTTTATTATAACACCCTCTTTACAACCCATCTAACATTGGGCCTTGCATCAATGTAGCTACTCCAGCAGGACACCTCTTGGTGCCGCCAAGTCGTAAGATCTTTGGGATTTATTCATGGAGGGAAATGTAAGTTTTCATTGGATTTGTGAAGCTTGTTCTTAATGTGAAATGACACTGCAGCAAAGTTTGGTTCAGATGCAGAGGCTGGACTTGAGTTTATAGGAATCAGGGGATTGGCTTCTGTCAGAAAGTTGCACATGGTCAAAACAAGGAACAGAGGTAAACCATACGTTGGAGTCCTGTTCTGTAAGAAATACAGCTTATTGCAAGTATAGCTAGCCCCACTAGATAAAGTTGCACATCCTTTTTTTTTATCTCTCTTCAGGCTATATAATAATTTTAGGTTTGTTTTGCCTTATTGTGAATTCTAAATCCTTAAAGGAAGTGTGCCGTCTGAGAGGCTGTTTTCCGTTATTCCAGCGTTTGCTTACAAAATGATACTATCACAATGAAAAACTTGCTTTATCCACTGAAGCCATCCAATGAATTTTGTCTACTTGGATTCTTTTAGGCTATATTAAAAAGAAATACAGGGAAAATAAAAGTTTTCTAGAGGTGGTTGAATGAAACAGTCTTTGTAAGCAGCACTCATTTTATTCTTCAGCTATGCTGTGAGTGTTAGGGCTGAAGTGACTGCTTTAATGTGGTTTGAACTAGCCATTGTTCTCTGCTGCAGTCATTCTATGAAATACTGGTGTGTGGATTCTTTAATATTAGCAAGTCATGTTAAAATACATAGATCTTATACATTAACACTTATTATGAATTATTGTTTACTTTTAATGCCAAGCTTTCATCTGACTTTTACTTGTTTAAAACTTAGTAACAACACCACTGTAAGTTAGAAGAGAGATTGTGTTTGATGCTTGGTACCAGAGGATCTCCAAGCATGCTGCAGAGCACAAGATCCCTGCAGTTTGTCAATGCACGTCTTGAGGGAGACTTGTGGCTGTGTGACACTGATGCAGCAATCTGTACTGAAAAAAACATTTGCAAGGCCTTGCTGTAGCACTAGCGTGGATGAGGTCCTTGATTTGGGGTGATTTGCAGTATTTCTTCACTGGCCTCTGCTTGTGGTTAAGGTTGCTAGTGAATCGGTGGGAACCTTGAGGATAGTTAACAGTTGATGTGGTACGGGCGCTTTCTGAAGGTGAGGTCTCTTGTGCATGCCTGTTTGCAGACATGAAGTTATTTGAGCTGGGTGATTTCACTACTTCTCCATCAGGCCCAAAAGTCAGAGCCCACAACCCCTTTGTGAAATGGGTAATAGTTGGTAAAATGATACCTCCGTACTTCAGTTTGAGCCCCTTGCAGAACATAACAACACAGCAGCTGCTTATGAGTATATAGCACCACTAAGCAGCATCGTGCAGTGCTATCAACACCTGAAGTTGATGGAGGACTTGTAGATTAACTAGCTATTTTAAATGTAGTATGTCCAAGCTACAAGATGGAATTACAGAAGCTCTGATGAGAAATGTGTAACTTTTAATGGCCACTTATGAAGAGTGAAGGCTTCTTTTCTTTGAAGTAGCAGTTCCTTTGTGAGACTGGGGATTCATGCACTGTT